GTTCCTGTTCCTCTGCATCCTCTCCAGCATTTGTTGTTTCTTGTCTTTTGGATAGTGGACATTGTAACTAGTGTGCGGTGATATCTCATTGTGGTTTTAATTTGCATTTCCCTGATGATTAGCAGTATGGAGCATCTTTTCATGTGCCTGTTGGCCTTTTGTATTTCTTTGGAGGTGTCTCTTCAGTCCTCCACCCATTTTTTAATAGGGATATTTGTTTTTTGGTGTTGAGGCATATGAGTTCTTTATATATCTTGGATGTTAACCCCTTATCAGGTGAGTCATTTATGAATATACTCTCCCATATTGTACGATGCCTTTTTGTTCTGCTGGTGGTGTCATTTGCTGTGCAGAAGGTTTTTAGTTTGATGTAGTCCTACTTGTTTATTTTTTATTTTGTTTTCCTTACCCAAGGAGATGTGTTCAGGAAGAAGTTGCTCATGTTTATATTCAAGAGATTTTTTGCCTGTCTTTTCTTCTAAGAGTTTTATGGTTTCCTGACTTACATTCAGATCTTTGATGCATTTTGAGTTTACTTTTGTGTGTGTAGTTAGACAATAATCCAGTTTCATTCCCTTATATGTAGCTGTCCAGTTTTGCCAACACTAGTTGTTGAAGAGGCTGTCATTTCCCCATTGTATATTCATGGCTTCTTTATCATTTATTAATTGGCCATATATGAATGGGTTTATATCTGGGCTCTCTATTCTGTTCCATTGACCTGTGGGTCTGTTTTTGTGCCGGTACCAGATTGTTTTGATTACTGTAGCTTTGTAGCAGAGCTTGTAGTCAGGGAGCATAATGCCCCCAGCTTTGTTCTTCTTTCTCAGGACTGCTTTGGATATTGGGGTCTCTTGTGGTTTCATATGAATTTTAGAACTATTTGTTCTATAGTTCATTGAAGAATGTTATTTTGATAGTGATTGCACTGACTCTGTAGATTCCTTTGGGCAGGATGGCCATTTTGACAATATTAATTCATCCTATCCATGGGTTAGATTTCCATTTATTGGTTTCTTTAATTTCTCTCATGAGTGTCTTGTACTTTTCAGAGTATAGGTCTTTCACCTCCTTGGTTAGGTTTATTTCAGGTGGTTTATTCCTAGGTAATTTATTCTTTTCGATGAATTGTAAATGGAGGTTTTTTCTTGATTTCTCTTTCTGTTAGTTTGTTGTTAATAATAGGAATGCAACAGATTTCTATGTATTAATTTTGTATTCTGTAACCTTGCTGAATTCAGTTTTTCTGTAGTTTTTTGTGGAGTCTTTAGGGTTTCCTATGTATAATATGTCATGTGCAAATAGTGACAGTTTAACTGAGGAAGATCTTTTTTTTCACTCAGTTTAATAACTTTTAATAATGCTTTTTACCATACAGTGAAATTTACATTTTTAAATTATTGTTTGTTTCTTGGCCAGGCTTATATGTTCCATTAATCCTGGCGTGGTGCTTTTATGATACACTTCACTAGCTGATAGAAAATGTTGAGGTTTAAGTTCTTTGGGCTTGGAAACCCGAAAAGCCTTCTCAGTCATTCATCCTGGTTCATTACCCTTGAACTTAGAAGGCTCTCACACCTGACCCTGTTCAATATGGGGCTTCCCTTCTAATTGTTCTACTCTGTTTTATGCATCACACATACCTTGTGAATCACATTCATTTTCTTATGTTTTCAGTATCATACTTGAGTTAACTTTAATATTCTTTAATCTTTGTTTTCTCCTCTTCTCAGTCCAGTTTGCATTTCTTTGCCTAGGTATATGCTGTCATTCTCTAGCATTTCTTCATCCCAACTTTGTGACTTTTCTTTGGTTGAAGTTTTTTAATTAACCAAAATATCCTTTGACAAAAACATTATTTTATTTCCATGCCTTAAGCAACCATGTCTCTGTCTTTTTATGTCATTTTCTCTTCTCAACACCTTTTCCTCATTAAACCTTTCTTCAATACCTTTTATATTTCTCCTCTCAGCTGGTCTGGGGCCTGAAGTTCCAGGCTCTTTCACACCCTCTGTCTTGAATGGCCTTTTGGCTCTCTGTTTGGAGAACAGACCCAGCTTGGAGGGACTTCTCAGACCCTCCTCTGGGAAGCCTTCAAGGCTAATATTGGACACTTCCTTCTCTGTGTTTCCATTCTTATAGACCATTCTTAAAGCATTTCATGCATGTAATGTAATTCATGTTTTCATGGCCATCTTCCTGCTAAACAGTGTCCTTCCTCTTCAGTGTCAGGAAAATGCCTGATTTTTTTCTGTATCCCCAACTCCAGCTCAGCCCCTGCACACCATAGATGCTCCGTAAGTGGACCCAGGAGGCAGGGTAGAAGCTGTGCCGTACTAAAGGGCTTTCAGATTGCTTTTCTCCTATGCTTAGATATCTCTCCCTGGAATGAATACCAGCCTGACCTTGAATTCCTCACCTCACTTTTCTCCCTGCTAATCCAGCCAGTGCATGAGACTAGTAAATTTTTCCTATAGGATCTTGAAACACAATGTTCAGCCCATTACACATTTAAAGAGTGGTTTGGAAATTGAGGACCAGGCCAGGCCTTGAGTGAATGGGGGTTCAGGATGCATTAAGTTGATTGGGGTCATTGTGTTTGGTTGTAGATGTTAGGATTTTGGGAGGCTGGAGGGGTGGGGGCAATAAGATGGGGTCCACCCAGATGAGGAGTGAGGTAACCTAGGTCTGGTTATGTTATTAATTAAAAAAAATCTGATGGGCTGTTATAAACATTTGTCAAAGGAACACATTCTATAAAGAGAATCGATAAGTAAATAATATATGTAGATTGAGTTCCTATTTCATAATTAATTTTTCTCAGTTTGAACAACTTTGTTTCCCTATTTAAGTAAAAAAAATTTTCTGATATAGATCGTCCAAAATAAATTATAAAACATAAAACACTATTTAATATCATTCCTTTTGAATCAAATCCATAAAGTCCAAGAGAGAAAAAAATTTAAGGATGAACTACCACCCAAACCACCCCATGCTCCTTTTCTCTTGCTTTCTTACTGATCCTTTTCTCCCCCATCTCCCGTTTACTGTCCCTCTTAGGTTTATAAAAAAGAAAAACACATAACACTTATAAAGAACCTCATGATACAAGAAACTACGTTCCACAAAACACCCGACATCAGCAAGGCACGCCTACTAGTCCTGGTCCTGAGGAAGCTCATGCCCAGGGCAGCGTTGCTAGTTAAGGTGACTGACACCTTCTTCTCCCTGCCTCTTCTCACCCATCTCAGAGAGGGGGCTGAGGTGGGATCAGCGTGAGAGGTGGGGGTAGAGAGGCGTAGACAAAGCCCAGAAGACGCCCGCCTGTTTGTTGGGCTGATCAAGGAGGAAGGTTGAGAAGGATACCCACCAGCTGATGTCCGAACTGTGGAGAGAGGGCTGGGGAAATGGGGAAAGAACTTTTGTGCTTTTTCTCTGTTTTTTGTATTGCTTACTAAAGAAACAAATAAAAGACCCTAAAATATGAAGAATATATAGTAAAGCCTTGGTTAAAATAAAATGAGGACGAGGGCCCAGTGGAGGCAGCAAAAGAAAGAGGAAGGGAGCCAAGACGAATGATCAGGAGCTCAAAGTTGACATTTCAAATGTAAGACTCCATCTCCTTCCCTTATTATTATTTTTTTAATGGTGAAAATAGCTGGATTTTGTTGTAATTTTCTAATGGTGAAAAGCTAGGTTGGGGTCCAGGTGAACATAGGTGGACAGTTGGTAAGTTGAGAGGGTAGGGAGGCATGTCTACACCTCACCGCTCAGGGCCTGACCTCCCAGTGCTGCTTGCTTCCTCTGGCTCAGCCTGGAGAGGAGTCCACGGGAGCCGGGAGGGCCTGGCCGCCCTGGCCTGCAGGGTGTGGTGCTGGCTGTGGCCCAGCAGGGGGCAGCACACCCCAGAGGGCCTGGGCTGGGAGGTCCTCTGGAGGCCGGCACTTGCCTACAGGCCCTCCCCAGGCTGGGCTGGCTGCTTGCCTCTGAAGGGCCTTATTTAACACACTTTGGATAGAAGTATTTACTGGTTCTGTCTGCGAAGCCTGGAAAGCCAGTCTGTTCAGCTGCTCAGGAAACTCTGGGTGTGGAGGCTCCTCCTCCCAGGACGTTTGAGCAACTGCTAAGGTGCATGGGCAGAGGTGAGGGCAAGGCATCGGGAGGCAGAGGGCATTTTGTGCTCCGCTGTCCCTGAAACAACTGAATGGGCAGTATATGAAAGAGGATCTTGGTAGCCATGTTTGTTTATTTTTACTAATACGAGAAATACTACTTTTTTTCTTTTTAATTCTGAGATGCAAAGATAAAAACTAACAATGGACAATAACCTCCCCACCAAGATAACCCCCGTTGACAATAAAAAATGATAATAAACTAAGACTTGTTTATGGTTTGAAAATTTTATCTGTGAGAGGAATAAAATGAGAAGGAAATGTTTCCCGCCCCACCACCTTCAGCCGTTCTGCAAAGGAAGCCACTGTACGTTTCTTATGATTGCTTTGCGAAGAAAAAGGAAACAAAGGCCATGTGTATGCCCAAGTGTCTTTATTTATATTTCTTTTTAATTATTTATTTTAGACCCAGAGTAACCATATTGCATATATTGTTCTTCTAAGCCTTGTTTTTTTTCACACACTATACCTTGAAGATGTTAATTTTTTTATTGAGGTATAATTGACATCCAACATTATGTTAGGTTCAAGTGTACAACATAATGATTCCATATTTGTGGCACCTGTTGCTGTTGGTAGTGAGATGGCGCGGCTGGCAGTTAGTAGGCCTGGCTCCTGCCGGGCAGCAGCCGGCTCCCTCTATGGCCTTTGCCTCCTCCACTGCAAGCCTCTTCAGTGGCTGGGAAGGGACTGTCCTGGTGTGGGGAGTCAGTAGCTTCTCTTTTATCAATAGGGGGCATTCTCTGGATTTCCCTTGTCACTTCAGCAAGGTTTTCCTGACCATCCTGGGGTGAGAGAGTGAATAATCACGTCTTCTGACTCCTCCAGGTGAAAAAGGCATACAGGCAGAAAGCCCTCTCCTGCCACCCAGACAAAAATCCGGATAATCCCAGAGCAGGTGAGACTCTCCTAGGCACAGCAGTGGTGGTGGTGCGGGGGGTGGTGAGGGCCACTGGTCTGGGCCTGGGCTGCCCCCCTGTGAGTGCCGACGCACATGGCCTGGCTTCAGGTGTGCTTCACACACTAGGGGCATCTGGTCAGTTGCTGAAGTGCCCACCCTTCCTTGCTGGTCCATATCTGCCAATGTTGGCTTTTCTGCCAGGCTATGGCTTCCTTGAGGTGCTTTTTGGAGGGAGCACACTATCCCCAAGTCTAACTTCATTTTCCTCCTCTCTCTTTGTGATACTTATGTTTAGCTGAACTCTTCCACCAGCTTTCTCAGGCCTTGGAGGTGCTGACCGATGCCGCAGCCCGGGTAAGTGCACCCCTGTCTGAACTGTCCCCCGTGGTGAGAGCCCACGGTGGCACTTCAGCCTTGGTCCTCTGTACTCTGGCCTTGCTGTCCCAGCCTGGAGATGTGGTCACCAGGCTGCCTCCTGATGGCTGTGGGGCTGGGTGGCAGGGCCAGGAAGATGGCTGGGCCCTGAGCCTGTTATGCTCTGGCTGACGGCTCCTCGGTGCTCCTCTCTCCTCCCAGGCTGCATATGACAAAGTCAGGAGAGCCAGGAAGCAGGCAGCAGAGAGGACCCAGAAACTTGATGACAAAAGGAAGAAAGTGAAGCTTGGTAGGTGACAGTGCGGTGCTGGGTGGCCTGTGGGGTCCCTGGGTCATTTTCATGCCACCCCCTCACCTTTCTTCCTGGAGCTTCAGGTCCAGCAACTCAAAGCTTTTTGGTCCTGGCTCTGGGCAGAACCCTGCTCTCAGGGTGGATCCTAAAGGACACCCTTCAGAAAAATAACAATGATTAGATTTACTGTTAGGAAAGCATTGTGACAAATGTTTTACTGTGTCCTTTAATTATCACAACTATCCAAGGAGGTGGGTATTGCTAAAGCCATTTTATGTGGACAAAGAAGCTAAGGCACAAAAGGATAAGAACTTGCTGGAGCTGGGAGCTGAGCCCACACAGTGTGAGTGAAGTCAGTGTCCTTGTTGCTAAGCCTTCCTGGGTCTTTTTGATTTCCAGCCTCATTTCAGCACAGAGCTTTCACTCTGAGAAGTTCCCTCAGAAGAAGCCAAAGAGGTCCAGGCATTCCTTTTTTTAGAAAAACAGCTTTATTGAGGTTTATTTTGTATATCATAACATCCACCCATTTCAAGTATAAAATTAAATGGTTTTTAGTAAATTAAACAAATGATTGTAACTATGACTATAAATTCATATTAGGACATTTTCATTACCCCCATAAGATTCGTCCAGGCATTCTTTACTCAGTTTTTCTCCTGTTCTTGTTTGTTTGCTATCTATATATTTTATATGTACAAACACCATTCCAATACATCCATTTCTCAAAAACAAACCAAAAAAATGGGAGGTTGTAGGTAGATAAAGTGTACAGAGAAGAAAGCAGTGAGTCCCAGGCTGGGGAAAGGGTTTGTCATGCCAGCTGGCCTGTCACAGTACCATGAGCAAGTTTCTCTTGGAAGGTGGGAAGGGCTCCGGGATCTGGGGTGACTTCCTCACACAGTCTGCTGCCCCTGTAGGAGCCACTGTAGCCGGGACCACAGTGCGGCCTGGTAACCATGAGCTGAGGGGGAGGTAGAGGAGACAGTGGGCCCTTGAGCTCCGTGGTGGGAAAAGCATCAAGCCAAGGCCAGGTCCCAGGTGCCAAACCACAGAAACAGGCCAGCAGCTCCGCCTGGCCCCAGCCTTCTGACAGAAGCATCTACCCACACCCTGTTTAGTGATCAGAGAACCAGCTTGGTCAGTGTGAGCTGGTTTAACCCTTCCAGACCCTGGCCACTCAGCTGGCAACTATACTTCCATGCTATGACTTTGCTCAGTGGGAGTTAACTTGGGACCACGTAGGCATGGAGGGAGGGGGCAGAGTTACGGTTTCATTCTGTGTGAGATTTTGGAGATGCAGCCAGAGCTGGACAGGCTGCGGCCATGTGGAAACTGCTTAGACCAGACATTGGGCCATTCAACCCTTGTGCTTAGATCTGGAGGCCCGGGAGCGGCAGGCCCAGGCCCATGGCAGTAAGGAGGGAGAGGAGAGCCAGAGCACCAGGACGCTAGAGCAGGAGGTGAGCATGCAAGCACACTGGCCTGTGGCCATCTGCAGGAGGAGGAGAAGGTGGTCAGATGTGGCTGCCGTGGCTGGGGAGGGCCTGCTTTTCCACCTTCCTCTCTGGGATCTAGGTAATCTGTCCCACCTCCAGGTCGCTGAGCCCTAGTTTGCAGGTGGGGCCTCCCAGGGACCTTTACAAGGTGAGCCAACCTGGAACTGGATCTGCACAGAACTGTCACCCCCCTCAAACCCCGCTCTGCAGATTGAACGCCTTCGAGAAGAGGGTTCCCGGCAGCTGGAGGAGCAGCAGAGGCTGATCCAGGAGCAGATACGGCAGGAACGGGAACAGAGGCTAAGAGGTGAGCGTCCATTGCCCCCACATGCCTCTCCAAGGCAGCTCTGGACGTCCAGAGTGGCCACGCTGGCTACCTACTGGTGGAGTATCTGTAGAAACTTGTATCTGGCAGAACCCTAGAGGTACCCCAGTCAGACACACATCACCTGTCCCTTCTTCCTGCCAGTTCCCTGGGACCTGTTTGTTTTAGTTCTAAGCAGAGCTGGCTCTATTTTAGAGCAAATCACCAAGGATAAGGCTCTGGGCTACTTGGTTTCAGTAGAGCTGTGAAATCTGTACCTCCGCCTCCTGCCTCCAGAAGGTGTTCACAGCCCTTGGATGGCTAACTGTAGCCTTCAGCAGGCAGGTGGGCAGACCCCCCTGGGGTGGCAACCCCATGACATGGGGGTAGGACTGCCTCTGCCTTCCCCACCAGGCTCCTCAGATACTGCCCTTGGTCAGGAGTGACCTTTACTAGGTCCTTCAGCTCTGGGCTGTGTCTCCTTTGGGAGAACCTCTACACGGTCTAATTTTTGCCAATTTTCCCAAATTTTCTAGGAAAGGCAGAGTATCCTGAAGGCAGAGGAACCCCCAAGCTAAAGGTGAGCCATGTGGGGTCTGTGGTCTACCTCACACTACTTCTCTCAGCAAGAATGGATGCCTGCTGTGGCTCACAGGATTTTGGCTCTGTAGGATCTGTGCAAGCCTCCTTCCATCTTCCTGCTGCCTGGGCAGCAGGGTGGCCTCTCAAGCTTGCCGTGAAAGGCTGCTCTTAGCCCTGACATTTGCTAGCTGCATTCTCCAGAGGCCCTCGAAGGAGAATATCTTGAGGCTGGAGTATGGCTGCTGGTGAGCAGGCCACACTGCCCATTGTTTTCAAGAGAAACACATCTGTGCTCCCTAGATTGCAAGTAACTTGAAGACTAGGGGTCTGTCTTCTCAGGCTGCAAAACTTAGGTGTGGGGTCTGGTACCATTCAGGCAAAGGGCCATGTTTAATGCGGACATCCACTGCTGTCTTCTCAGCTAAAATGGAAGTGCAAGGAGGAGAACGGGTCAAAAGGCGGCTACTCCAGAGATGTCCTCCTGCAGCTTTTTCAAAAGGTCTGCCCTGCTGACTCCCCTCTTTCCCATCATCTCAGTCCACATTGCAGCCCAAACCCCAGGACCTCCAAGCCTGAAGTCCCTCTAACTTCTCTAGCTGCCTTTCTCTGTCTCATAGACCATAGGGCAGCCTGGAGGCTTCTCCCTGGCCCTGCAGGCACCCGTATTACCCTGTGTTCCCTCCAGTCTGGCGTTGCCTTCCCCACCCAGGTCTAGCCCTTGCTGACCTTAGATGCAAAGGGCTTAGTTGAGTGTGTGGGGAGAGGAGGTGGGCATCTGGCCTGGAAACCCAGCCCTTCGCCACCTTTGGCTGCTGAGGCAGCTGTGCCGCTCTGCCAGCCTCAGTCCCCAGGCCTTTGCCCAGCTCTCTTTTGCCGTCCTGCATTCTGGACAAAAATTCTTTCTCACCCATCTCTGATCTCCCGTCTCAGGGATCCTAGCAATACGAAGTTATGCCCCACTAAAAATGTACCTGTGGGCCTCAGGGCAGCCCAGGCTTGTCTCGGGCATGAGCCCGGCCATCCTGAAGCCTGAACCGTATTTACCGGCACCCCCTTGCCCTCACAGTATGGAGAGGTGCTCAACCTGGTGCTTTCCAGTAAGAAGGCAGGCACTGCCGTGCTGGAGTTTGCAACCGTCAAGGCTGCGGTGAGTGCTGCGTGAGGCCCTGGGGCCCTTGGCCACCCTGGGACCCAGTGCTGTGGGCTGTCCGAGCTTAGGGATCCACACTCCCTGGAGATTTCTAGGCCAGCTAAGGGCCAGGGTTCCCCAGAGCCCCCCGACTCTCAGGACTAGAGGTCCAGCAAGTGAAGGGTCAGATGGGAGAATGCTCCACGGTGGAAGGGGAACACAGACCGATTTTGTTTCCTGCTACCTGGCTGAGCTCCCTCTCCTTCCATGGAAGCTGGCATGCCTGCAGGTTGGGGCCCTGCAGTGCCTCCCCCTTCTCCTTCTCCTAGTCCCCAGCCCAAAGGCTTATACCACCCCCCAACCCACAAGGAGGGGCAGAGCTTCAGCACACCAGTGGGTGAAGGGCGCTGATTGGGTTCCGTCTGTGGGGAGAGAGCCACTTTATAGCCAACTGGAGTGATGGGACCAGGACTGGACACTGTGTTTGGCAGGAGCTGGCTGTCCAGAATGAAGTGGGCCTGGTCGATAACCCTCTGAAGATTTCCTGGTTAGAGGGACGGCCCTGGGGTGCAGTGGGCCCCAGCCACCCAGGACTATCACAGGTAGGGAGGTAGGCCTCACTCAGCTGGGCCTGCTCAGGGTTTGGGGACCTTTTCCCGTTTGGGCTCTTCTCAGGGCCCTTTCCTCACAAACCCTGGCCATCAGGAGTGGAGTGAGCCTGGCAGGTCCGCCGTGCCGAGCAGGAGGGCCATGACCCTGCGCTGACCCTTCCTTGTCTCTTGAGTGCCAGGGGCCCCACCCCATTCAGAATCCTTAGGCCTTGTTTTCATGTCCTGGTCTCCTGTGTTGCTCGTCCCCACCCGGAGGGTTCTTCCTGGCCGGAGGGTTGCTTGGTTGTGGTGTGAAGCATTTGATGCTTGGATGACCCAGTGCTGTGGGGAAGGGGCAGGTGACACGAGCAGCTGTGTCCCTCCCCACCTTCCAGGTGTGTCTGTAGCTGCCCCGACAGGGGTTCAGGGACCAGATTCTGTACAGGGGCGATACCTCCTGTCAGAAAAAACACCGCTGACACTGGGTGCTGCCTGGGCACCCAGCTCGGGGTGGAGCACAGACTTCAGCTGGTACGTGCTCAGCACCAGCTCTCACTCCTTGCAGTTCCACGAAGGCTTTTGTTAAGCACCCTGCACCCCCAAAAGCCTGGCGCATGGCCCTAATCACACCTTCCCCTGCTTTTGTGGATAGAGAGCTCTCAGGCCAAGAGCTCTCCCTTCTCCAGAATGGCCTGGGGTCTGTGTGGGAGCCTCAGTGTGCTGGCTTCCCAGCCCTCTCCATGGGAGAATGCCCCTCCATGGGTCAGCAAGGGCTTTGCTCTCATTGTCTCGGTCACAGACCCCTGCTCTATGAGCCCCTCACCTGGCCGTGAGGACAGGAAGCTTTGTGGGAGTGTGTCCTGGACCCTGGACAGAAAAGGAAAATGAACCGGTCTGAGCCCAACTTGGGGCCCTTCTTCAGAGGCCTATCCCCTATCATTAAGTCCCAGCATTTCATAGCCCCAGACGACATTCCATAGGCCAGTTATAAAGGGCTTTATTCATTATGTCCTGCATCCGGAAGGGAGCCTGTCAGCTTGGCACACCCACTCAAGAGGAAGGAAGAGGGTGGCCACAGGTTGGGCTGTGGAAGTAATGTGCGTGGAAGCGTCCCTCTCCCCTTCTGCCACCCTTCGAGAGGCCTGGGGTGTCAGAGCCGCATGGCCCAGCCACCTTGGCCTCTGCTTTCAAGTCTACTGGTCAGACCGCAGGGCAGGGGTGGCAGAGGGTTTGAGCAGGGCCCCCCCAGCCCTGGTGGAGGACTCTGGAGACAGCGTGCCTCTGCACGGTCACAGCCTTGGGTTCTGAGTCCGTCCCCTGATCCAGTCATCCCGTGTTCTCAGGGTGGCAAAGAGGGAAATCTACCACATTTTTGCTGAGTTTCCCAAGGGTTCCGATCACTAACAGTTCTGAGAATTCCCCGAAGCGTCCCTTTGCACGCTGTCACTGCCTTCAGCTGGCATTTCCTGGAGCCGCCTTCCCAGGGCACCAGGAGTGCCCCAGGCAGCTGTGTTGGCAGCATGGGCCTCCCATGCCCCCCTTTTTGCTAATGATTTATTTGACTTTTTTCCTGAGCTATACTCTGTCTCTCTACACGGCTCCCTCTTCCTCTGCCAGCCTCTCCCTTCCCTTGAAGGCCCCGTGGGCTTCCCCCTTCCCCCATGATGCCACTGGTGGCTCCAGGCCGTGTCCATATGCTGTCCCACTGAATTGCCTCCCTTCATGTTGATGTTCACCTCGCACTGTTCAGGGTGGTAGCCATTAGTCACATGTGGCTATTGAGCCCTTGAAATGTGGCTAGTACAAAAGAGAAGCTAAATTTGTAATTTTACTTAATTTCAGTCAAGTTTAAACAGCCATACGTAGCTCGTGGCTACCATACAGACGAGGTCAAGCCTGTTCATGCCTCTCCTCTCAAGTCTCCCCACTTTTCTCTTCGGCCTGGGTTGGATCACTTTTGCCTAGACTCACCCTGTAACCTCTCTCTGTGGACAGCGGCTTCAGAGGGGCCTGACCACCTGACGTGCCTGGTCTGTGTCCTAGGCTCCCTGACTCGCCCCTTTGCTGCCCGCCCCTTTGCTGCCCTCCCGTTTGCCGGCCTCTGCCTGGTCCCTGTGGTTGCAGGCATGGCCTCCCTTTCCTGGCCTTGCCAGCTGCCTTCAGGGCTCCTGCCAGCAAGTGCCCCCCTCACGACATTTCCAGCTTGCCTCTGCCTCAGTCCCTGCCCCCTGGGGTGACTTGGAGGACTATTCAGGACCCAGATTCCTATCCTTACCTTCTTTGTCCACACCTGTACCTCCTTCCCTGGGTCCCCAGGCTTCTGGCTCTTCCAGTCACCCCACCTCTGCCCACCCACACCCCATTCAGAAGCTGGCTTCGCTGGGAAATTGCTCCCTCAGCATCTGTAAAACTTCCTCAAGAAGTGAAATCCCCAGATCCACTGTGAAGGAGAAGAAGGGATCGTTGAGGTCCAGAGCAGGTGTCCTCTGCAAGGCCGCAGTGTCTGAGAGGTCTTCCTCGGAGTATCGGTGGAGGGAGAGTGCCGAGGGCAGGGTAGCCGAGTAGGCAGCAGTGTAGGCCGGAGGGGGCTCCACGATGTTGGGGCAGCTGGAACTCTCTCGGTAGAGGCGTGGGGGCTTTGGTGGGGCCAGCAGGGTTGCCCGGGGCTGCTCATCCCCCCACAGTGGCAGGCGCCGGCCATCCGGTCTCCCTCGTAGCTCCCGGATGACCTCTCGGTTGCTGTACTCCTCATGGTCCCCGCCAGCCATGCTGGCCTGGCTAAGCACGCTACCCTGTCGCCGGAGTCGCCGAGGCCGCCCCAGGCTCAGCCGCTTGAAGAAGGAGGCATTGCGGAAGGAGCTTTTCTGCCAGGTCTCCATGGACCCGGAGATGCTAGCAGACAAGCCTGGTATCCAAAGCCCAGTTCAAGAGCAGCTAGGGAGCATCTGGTCCTCACTGGAGCAGTGAATGGCAAGAATCAGGGAGACAGCCCTAATGGGCTAGAGGCAGAGGCCCCTGGTTTCTGTCAGCACAGACCCTTGGCCAGCATCTTTGATGGTGAGATGAGGTCTCAGAAAGAGGGCGCTTTTGTCCTGGAGAGCGTAGAATTGGCAGTTTCTGCTGATGGGAGTTGCCCAGGGGACAAGGTGACTTGATAGTAGCAGTGGAAAAACTGCAAGAGGAAGAAACAGCACTTACTGGCTCCAGCGTGCAGGCAGCCCCGACAGTGACGGGGATAGATCTCCTTCCCCAGCACTGGGCTCCTCCTGGACACGAGCTCCCCTCCCTCCCTGGCCCCGGCGTCAGTCCTGAGGGCAGTGCAGGGCCCTGCCTTTCTGCTGGTGGTTCCTGGACTCTGAGGAGTGGCTTGGCTGTTTGTGCCCGTGTGTGGCGGGGCAGATCTGTTGTTGTTTTCAGCTGACTCAGTCGGGTTTCAGGCCCTTAGGTAATTGCAGCACCTGCATGCGGGGAATGGGGCAGCTGCGGCCAACACCCCAGGGCTCTGGGAGCTTGGTTCCTCTGGGGACAGGTCTGGGGCAGCCCTGCTTGGCTGCTTCCTTTTCTGCCGACAGCCCCTAGCAGGTGGGCCTGGCTCCCAGCCTCTGGTGCATCTGGGAGGGAGGAGCTCACGGAGGGTGGGAGTTAATGGAAAGGCAGGCATGTGGAACAATTGTTGGGGAGGAACAGACCTGTCGCTGGTGTGGGTGACTCAGCCCTGGGGCCTGGTGACAGGCCTTCATTAGCAGAGCCTGCAGGTATGAGGGGAAAGGTAGAGGGTGTGTTAATGGGAGCAGCCCCGTGCCTATAGAGGCTGGCTTCTCCCAGGGCTGGGCTTGGGCCATGCCAGGGTGACTCTTAGGTTCCCTCAGCTGAGTGGCAATACCTTGGGGAGGGGAGAATTGCCTTCCCTTTGGCCTGACGCCCAGGCTGGCTGCTTCTTCCTCACCCTTCCACAGTCACCCAGATGGCCTCAGGGCAGAAGAGCGCAGTTGAGGGTCAGGGTCCCACGGCCTCCTACCCCTCTATGCTCTAGTCCTTCCCCACAGGCTGCCTGGGCCACATTTGGGGTCCCTCCTTGGTGGAGGGGTCTGCCCTGGGTCAGTGTCAGTGGTGCGCTGGGCCAAGCTTACTGGGTGGGCCTGGCTGGGAGGGCAGCTGTCTTTCGGAGCTGCTGCAGCCCAGGTGAGGGCTGGCGGGAGGAGCAGGGCTGAGTAACACTTCCGGAGTCTTGACACCGTGGAGTCCAAACCAGTTGGCCAGGGCTTGGCATCTTACTACAGCCACTCCCTTCTTATTCTTGGGGTCACTGAGCACGGATCTCTCCCCCTGGCTAATTTCATGAGCAGGAGCCAGTGTGGAGCTGCGGACGGGGCTCAGCAGCTTTCTCTTCTGAGCAGCCCCTCGGTCCGGCTCAGTTCTGTGCCAGTTCACGTGGGCTTTGCATGGCTTCACTGAGGCAGGAAGTGCTTTGATTCCCACTGTGGACCTTCTAGGACATGGGGCTGCCGCTCCACCCCACAGCCTTGGCCCATTGAGGTGGCTGTTTTATTATTTTTCTGATTATTAAAATATAGCACTCTTCAATCCCTCACGCTATGCTGGCAAGATCATAAAAGAAAAAGCCACAGGCCCTGCCCTGCAGGAGCCCTCGTGCGTGTGTTTAGGCCTCAGCTTGGTCCTCTCCTTCCAGGGTGGGGCCCGATGGAGGCTGTGTCCAGGGTAGGGCTCGGTTCTCCCGCGTCCTGAGCAGGAGCCAGACCACAGGGAGGGGCAGTGCTCTTGCTTCTGCCCAGCAGAGGGCACCTCTGATGACTTCCCTTCACTGGAAACCTGTGGGAAGAAGCCTTGGGGAGGAGGAAAGGAGAGTCAGATAAGGGACTAAGAGAGCATGGAGGGAGACCAGGGCCTGGCTCAAGCACGAGGAAGTGATTCACCCAGAGAAGATCAAGAGCTGACTGCAGGTGTGAAGGGCACGGGGCAGGGGCGGTGGGGCTGGTAACTGGTTGAGATGGGTGCAAGGGGAGCCAGTGAGAGGTCCTGGGTGTCCACCGTCTTGAATGCAGCCCTGCCTAGGCCCTGTCCTCTGAGTCTGGAGTCCGTGGGGCTGTGTCCTGCTGCCCTGATCCCTCCCTGTGCTTCCTCTGTCCCCCAGGGCTCAGTGGTCTCTGAGAGGGACTATGAGAGCCTCGTCATGATGCGAATGCGCCAGGCAGCTGAGCGGCAACAGCTGATCACCCAAATACAGCAGGAAGACGAGGGGCAGCCCACGTAGCCCCCTGCCTCTGGCCTGCCCTCCCACAGCCCGTTCTCAAACATCACTAATAAACATTTTTTTAAAGAGTGCCTCAATTGCATACATAGGTATAGGGTGTTGGCCTGCCCAAGCATGGCCCTCGTTGCTGGACTCTGCCCCAGAGGGCTCCACCCAGGCCTGGCTCTCCCTCCCTGGGAGTGGGCAGACCCCCAGGGAGGCTCCCCCCAGCGGGAGGCAGTATGCAAGCAGAGCAGAGGAGCAACCACTCATCACAGCACTTTATTGGCTTGGACTCACCACACAGGACCCGCCCATGTGCCCAGTCCCGGGGCCAGGCTCCTCAGGGGTGCCAATTCTCGCCAAGGCCAGGCTGGCTCTTGCCACCACCTTAGCCTGCCCACAGGGAATGGCCTCTAGGCCTGAAGCAGAGGGGGGCTGGGAGCACCAGGGCTACAGGCCCTGACCACCCCTCACCCACTGGCTGAGGCAGGTTTCAGAGAAGGCCATTTCCTGCCGAGTGGTGCTAGGCCAAGGAAAACAATGATTTGGGAAGAGGGACAGAGCAGCAAGGGAGGCAGGCAGGGGCTTGGGGCCAGGGCCCATGACAACCACTGAAAGAAGGGGTGTCCCGTCCACTCCTTGGCGTGAGAGTCATTCCTTGTGCAGGCACCACACCAGTGTCTGGCCCACTCCTGTCATGCTCAGCACACGGAATCCCCTGCGTTCCAGCTTGTCCAGGACAATGCGGGGAGGGTCGTTGACATAGTACTCACAACTGCAAAGAGAAGGGGCAGGGGCGGTGTGAGGGGACATGGGGCAGCTCTCCACACAAAGCCAGCATCTGTTGAAGACCAGGCCTGGTCAGGAATACCCATAGTAGTGACTAACATTTGTTGGGTGCCTTCTGGGTGTATGTTCTCTGCCCCCTCCCTGCTAAGCACTTTGCATACAGCATCTCATTTATTCCTCCCAACACCCTAAGGAACCATGACTAGAGATTGAGCACGGATCTCTCCCCCTGGCTAATTTCATGAGCAGGAGCCAGTGTGGAGCTGCGGACGGGGCTCAGCAGCTTTCTCTTCTGAGCAGCCCCTCGGTCCGGCTCAGTTCTGTGCCAGTTCACGTGGGCTTTGCATGGCTTCACTGAGGCAGGAAGTGCTTTGATTCCCACTGTGGACCTTCTAGGACATGGGGCTGCCGCTCCACCCCACAGCCTTGGCCCATTGAGGTGGCTGTTTTATTATTTTTCTGATTATTAAAATATAGCACTCTTCAATCCCTCACGCTATGCTGGCAAGATCATAAAAGAAAAAGCCACAGGCCCTGCCCTGCAGGAGCCCTCGTGCGTGTGTTTAGGCCTCAGCTTGGTCCTCTCCTTCCAGGGTGGGGCCCGATGGAGGCTGTGTCCAGGGTAGGGCTCGGTTCTCCCGCGTCCTGAGCAGGAGCCAGACCACAGGGAGGGGCAGTGCTCTTGCTTCTGCCCAGCAGAGGGCACCTCTGATGACTTCCCTTCACTGGAAACCTGTGGGAAGAAGCCTTGGGGAGGAGGAAAGGAGAGTCAGATAAGGGACTAAGAGAGCATGGAGGGAGACCAGGGCCTGGCTCAAGCACGAGGAAGTGATTCACCCAGAGAAGATCAAGAGCTGACTGCAGGTGTGAAGGGCACGGGGCAGGGGCGGTGGGGCTGGTAACTGGTTGAGATGGGTGCAAGGGGAGCCAGTGAGAGGTCCTGGGTGTCCACCGTCTTGAATGCAGCCCTGCCTAGGCCCTGTCCTCTGAGTCTGGAGTCCGTGGGGCTGTGTCCTGCTGCCCTGATCCCTCCCTGTGCTTCCTCTGTCCCCCAGGGCTCAGTGGTCTCTGAGAGGGACTATGAGAGCCTCGTCATGATGCGAATGCGCCAGGCAGCTGAGCGGCAACAGCTGATCACCCAAATACAGCAGGAAGACGAGGGGCAGCCCACGTAGCCCCCTGCCTCTGGCCTGCCCTCCCACAGCCCGTTCTCAAACATCACTAATAAACATTTTTTTAAAGAGTGCCTCAATTGCATACATAGGTATAGGGTGTTGGCCTGCCCAAGCATGGCCCTCGTTGCTGGACTCTGCCCCAGAGGGCTCCACCCAGGCCTGGCTCTCCCTCCCTGGGAGTGGGCAGACCCCCAGGGAGGCTCCCCCCAGCGGGAGGCAGTATGCAAGCAGAGCAGAGGAGCAACCACTCATCACAGCACTTTATTGGCTTGGACTCACCACACAGGACCCGCCCATGTGCCCAGTCCCGGGGCCAGGCTCCTCAGGGGTGCCAATTCTCGCCAAGGCCAGGCTGGCTCTTGCCACCACCTTAGCCTGCCCACAGGGAATGGCCTCTAGGCCTGAAGCAGAGGGGGGCTGGGAGCACCAGGGCTACAGGCCCTGACCACCCCTCACCCACTGGCTGAGGCAGGTTTCAGAGAAGGCCATTTCCTGCCGAGTGGTGCTAGGCCAAGGAAAACAATGATTTGGGAAGAGGGACAGAGCAGCAAGGGAGGCAGGCAGGGGCTTGGGGCCAGGGCCCATGACAACCACTGAAAGAAGGGGTGTCCCGTCCACTCCTTGGCGTGAGAGTCATTCCTTGTGCAGGCACCACACCAGTGTCTGGCCCACTCCTGTCATGCTCAGCACACGGAATCCCCTGCGTTCCAGCTTGTCCAGGACAATGCGGGGAGGGTCGTTGACATAGTACTCACAACTGCAAAGAGAAGGGGCAGGGGCGGTGTGAGGGGACATGGGGCAGCTCTCCACACAAAGCCAGCATCTGTTGAAGACCAGGCCTGGTCAGGAATACCCATAGTAGTGACTAACATTTGTTGGGTGCCTTCTGGGTGTATGTTCTCTGCCCCCTCCCTGCTAAGCACTTTGCATACAGCATCTCATTTATTCCTCCCAACACCCTAAGGAACCATGACTAGAGAAATGATAAAACGTGAAGGGGTTCAGTAGCTTTCAGAGCCATGGTAATCTGACAGCCCGGTGCGCTGTGGCTCTGTGTTCTTCAGGAGGAGCGCCTGCCCTGCCCAGGGCACCCCCCGGGGCCTCCGCTCCCTCTTGCTGCCCTGGCTGTCCCGCAGCCCTGGAGCAACAGGCTGACCCCTGAGAGCTCCCGGCTGTGGGTGCGGCTCCTCGAACAAGGATGCTTGGTTCCCCTGCTTTCAGGTTAATAGATCCTGAAGTGCCATCAAGTAGATAAAGGGCTCAAGCTGCAAGCTGGGCATCTTGAGACAAGTGCCGCATGGCATAGGGTTGGGGTTGGCTTCAGCCCTCCAGCCCTGACCTGTGGGGCTGGAGTCAGCTCACCGCCTCTCCCGCTTTGGGGCTCACTCTGGCAGGCCTCCCCAGGAGTGCCAAGCCTGTGTAGCCAGCATTTGCCCTGCCTGTAGGGTAGGAAGGGAAGGAAGTGGGAGAGGGCAGAAAAGGAAACAGTGCTCACTGTGCAGCCATGGAGCTGGTGTGAAGGATGCCAAGCCAAGTGGCCCATCCCCAGGAAGCAGCTGAGCTGGAAGTAGGACCCAGGCTGCCTGCTCCCTGTTTCTAGGGCTTAGCTGTTACTCAGCCAGCTCTCCCAAGACGGAAACCTTTCTTTCTCTCCCTCCTTGCCTTGATGGGGTCCAGCTTGGAGATGAGACAGCAGGGCAAGGAACTGTCCACACAGAGTCCCACATCCAGGGAATGCGGCTCTGTCCTGGGGCTCCCTTGTGAAGAGAGGCCAGGGCAAGCCTGGGGCTGTGGTGAAGGAACTGACCCTGCTGAGGTCAGAGCCATGTGCAGGCAGAGGGTCTCTGTGACTGGGCACTGCCACTATCCCTGGGCTTGGTGGTTATAAGGGAACAAAGATCTAGGTGCCAGCAGGGAGAAGTTTCTTAGGAAAGCCACTACTTACAAGTTGTTTCCCAAGACGCTTCTTTTTGAGGCCCCCAGATGCCGCATCAGCTCTGGATCCGAGTGCTCATCACCCACCATGGTGGGGCCCACCTCCTGCAGGGTAAGCCAGAGTGGCTGCTGGGAGAGGTGGAAGGGCTCACCTGTGCTCCCCTTGCCTGCTAGCCCTGAGCCAGCTTCAATAGAGGCTGGAGGGGACAGTAAGGAACCCGAGGGAAAGAGCCTGTCCATGATCAAGGCAAGCAGCGCAGGCCTCCCAAACCCCTCCAGGATGAGCTGGGCATTGCACGACTACTGGCACCTATAGGCCAGGCACGACCACCCATGTTGGTATCAGAATCACCTGGAAAGCAGAGAAATAAATGCATATACCTACACAAGATATGTACACAAATGTTCATAACATTCTTATCCTAAATAACCAATAAGTGGAAATAACCTAAATGTGTGTCAACTGATGGATAGGTAAATAAAATGTGCCATAGCCATACAATGAAATCTTCCTTGGCAATGAAAAGAAATGAGTACTGATGCCCACTACAGTATGGATAAACTGTGAAAACATTATATAAGTTAAAGAAGCCAGACACAAGAGACCACACACAGGCATACCTCGGAGATACTGACACTACTGTTCCAGGCCATGAAAGTAAAGCGAGTAATGCAATAAGGTGAGTCAAAGGAAGTTTTTGACTTCCCAGTGCATATAGAAGTTAGGTTTACATGGCACTGTAGTCGATTAGGTGTGCAATAGCATTATGTCTAATGTACATTGATACCTTAATCAAAAATACTTTATCCCTAAAAAAATGATGCTATCCATCACCTGAGCTTTCAGATGACTCCTTCTCCATTTAAGTTGTATCAGGAGAGGGCAGCAATTCAGGCACATCTTCAGGCTCCACTTGTAATTCTAGTTCTCTTGCTGTTTCCACCACATCTGCAGTGACTTCCTCCACTGAAGTCTTGAATCCCTCAGAGTCATCCATGAGGGCTGGAATCAAGTTCCAAACTCCTGTTCATGTTGATATTCTGACCTCTTCTCATGAATTCATGAATGTTCTTAATGTCATCTAGGATGGTGACCCCTTTCCAGAAGGTCTTCAACTGACTTTGCCCAGATCCATCTGTGGCAGCTAGAGCCTTATGAAATGTATTTTTTATACAAAAAGACTTGGAAATCAAAATTACTTCTTGATCCAAGGGCTACAGAATGAACGTTGTATTTAGCAGGCATGAAAACATTAACCTCAGTGTACGTGTCCATCAGAGCTCTAGGGTGACCAGGTAGGTTGTCAATAAGCAATATTTTGAAAGAAATCTTTTTTTCTGAGCAGTAGTTCTCAACAATGGCCCTAAAGTACTCAGTAAACCATAATGTTATCCAGGCTTTGTTCCATTTACAGAGCACAGACAGAGTAGATTTAGTATATTCTTAAATGCCCTCGGATTTTCAGAATGGTCAGTGAGCACCGGCTTCAGCTTGCTCTGGATTAGGCTTTGGTTTAACGGAATGTTGTGGCTGGCTTGATCTTCTATACAGACCACTCCAACTTTCTTATCAACAATAAGGCTGTTTCTTTCTTATTCATGTTTTCACTGGAATAGCATGTTCAATTTCCTTCAATAACTTTTCCTTTACATTTATAAGTTGACTGTCACACAGGGCCTAGCTTCTGGCCTATCTCAGCTTTCGACATGCTCTCCTCACTAAGCGTAATCACTTCTAGCTTTTAATTTAAAGTGAGAGACAAGTGTTCTTCCTTTCACTAGAACACTTAAGAGGCCACACTGTAGGGTTATCAATTTCAATATTGTTGTGTCTCAAGGAACAGGGAGGCCCAAGGAGAGGGAGAGAGACAGGAAAATGTCTGGTCAGTGGAGCAGTCAGGACACACACAACTTTTTTTTAAGCATGGTGCATGGCACCCCAAAGCAATTACAATAGTAACATCAAAGAGCACAGATCACCCTAACAAATAACAAATAATAATGAAAAACTTTGAAAGATTGTAGGAATTACCCAAATGTGACACAGAGACAAGTGAGCAAATGCTATTGGAAAAATGGTTTTGTTAAAAAAAAAAAAAAAAGCAATACCTGTGAAGTGCAACGGAACAAGATATGCCTGTATTATGAGAGAAAGTAAATTGGTGGTCACCTAGGGCTGAGGGACTTGGGGGGAAATGGGGAGTGACTGCTAAGATACAGGGTATGGTTCAGGGTTTCTTTTTTAAGGTGATGGAAATGTTCTAAAATTGTTTTTAGTGATGGTGGCACAACTCTTGAGTATACCAAAAAAAAAAAATCCATTGATTCCTACACTTTGAATTGGTGAATTCTGTGGTTATGTGTTCTGTATCAATAGAGCTGCTATTTTAAAAGAGAAAGAACCACTTGAAGAGCACTGTGTTCCCAAGGCCCACGCTAAAGTGTTTGGGGAGTCTGGGAAGGGGCCCAGGAGTGCACACTAACTGCACAGCTGTTCCTGCCATGAAGTGAGCCTGCACCCTCTCCATCCCAAGGCAGCTGGGAGTGGGAAGGGGGAGAGGAGTGCTCAGCTGGGGACCCAGTCATGTCACTCAGAAGCTGAAAGGGAGACCAGCACCCCCTGAGACGACGAAACTGCCCAGAGGAAGAAGGATGGCTTCTGACTGCGGAACGGCGTCCCACCCTAACACCGCGGCCTGGCCCCCCTTGCACAGCAACTTCTTCCTTCTCTTCTCTTCCTAAGGCTCAGGCAGAGCTCTTCCTTTAAGTGGCCAAGGGTGCAGCTAGTGGCTGTGGATGGGCCAGGCACTTGGCATAGGTCTTAGCACCTACTTTTCTCTTACAAACCCCTTTCCCTCGAGATTTTCCACTTTTTCCCCTACGGGGCGCCTCTGTGCAGGGCAGTGGGAGCTGCACATGTGAGGCCAGGGCTTCCTGAGTCCCTCCCGGAGGCTGGGCCTCCCGAGGACAGGTAGGACAGGAGCGACAAGCGCCCGGTGCTCGCGCGATCTCTGCGGCCCTGGAGGGGCTCGGCGAGCCAGAGCTCCCCGAGTCCCGGGATCCGAGCTGAGTCCGAACCCACTCTCCCTTCCCGAGGGCCGAGGGGGCGTTTCCCTGGCGCCTACCTTGTCCAGCCACCGCCGGGCGCTGCCCGGGGAGGAGGCGCCGAGTGCGGTCGCGCACCCCTCGGCGCGGCCCCAGCTCCCGCCCGCCGGCGGCGGGTACTCACCATGCGGATCTGGGTGCTGATGAGCAGGTAGGGCATGGTGCGCGCGTCCCGGCCAGGCTCCCTCTCTGGGCTCTGGGCTCGGCGCCGACGCCAGCCCCCTCGGGCGCCTTGGCTGTGACCCGCAGCCGGGAGTCCCGTTACTCCGGCTCTGCCCGCGGGCGGTGCCAATCCCGGTGTCAGGGCCCGTGACCGCCGCGGCAGGCCAATGAGGAGCGGGCGCCCGTGACGCGCCCAGTCGGCGATTCGGGGCCCGCCCCCTGCCATCCCGGGACGCGCAGGGACCCGCGTGCGATCCCCGGCTTCCACGCACGTCCAGCGGCAAGGAGCGGTGAGTGTTGGCGGGGCGGCTCCGCACCTGCAGCCTGGAGGCCGGGTCGGGGCTGCTGCGGCCTGGGCTGCCTACGGCGGTTGGGGCCGTGGCGCCGTGGCGCCGTCCGTGCAGGTGGACCTTGCGCACTTTCTGCAACACCTCCAGTAACAGGTTCCAAAGTCCTGCTGGTCCCCGCCCCCGTCCCTGTGAAGCAGAGCGGGGAGTAAACGGCAACCCGCTGAAGCTTTCCAAGCTCTAGCCCACCCCACCCAGGGACTCCTCTAAAGCTTTCAGCGGATTCCCACTTCCCATCCTCAAGGCACGTCATCCAGAGACGCCTTAAGCGCGCAGGGGACAGGTGTAGGAGGCTTGTGGTTTCAGCCAAAATCCCACTGCGGTGCACCGCGCATTCCTGCCTCCCCGACTGTTAGTTCTAGTGCAGCTGTGGGACCTTGCATTTCTGTGGCCGTTTTGGTAAAACTGTAAAGAAACTGGGCGCTTGACGCGGCGCCAGGCCTGGAGAGACTTACTTAAACCGACAGAATCGAGTGCTCAGCTGGGAGAGCGCTCCGCGAAGCTGGAGGGACGCCGTGCGTGCGCAGGAGAGCCCAAGGCCACACCTGGGGCCAAACATCCCGCACCAATCACCAATGAGAGGGCAGCGAGTTCACCTTGATGCGCCCTGCCTTCATCCGATGCTTCACAATCTGACAACTCAGCAATCTATCTGCCTTGTTGTGATTGTGTAATCGAGTGAAAAAGTGGCCTCTCAGCTTCCGGCATCAGCACTCTCTGGAGGACTCGTGCCGGGGGGTGATCATCAAAAAGCCTCCACAGGGATCCGGGCGATGCTGCGGTTGTGGCTGCGTCCACCCCACCATTTCCTGGACTTGCCATTGGAATGAGGAGGGAGATGTCGAGGCTGGCATGTGCATGCAGTGAGACAACGAATTTGACCGGATCTGTACTGTTGGAACTCAATCAGGAGTTGGGAGGGGTGCAAGTTGTAGCGCTCCAAAATCTTACGACTATAGACTATCTACTGTTAAAAGAACATATGGAATGTGAACAGATCCCAGAAATGGGTTGCTTTAATTTGTCTGACTTCTCTCAGACTGTTCAAGTACAGTTGGACAATATCCATCATATCATAGACTAATTTTCACAAATGCCTGGGGTGCCTAAATGGTTTTCTTGGCTTCACTGGAGATGGCTGGTAATTACAGATTTGCTTTGTTTATGTCACCGTATTCCTATTATGTTAATATGTGTGCACAAGTTAGTTAGTAGTTTAAAACCCATACATACTTAAGGTACTCTACAAGAAGATATGTCAAAGAAATAATCAATCCTCCCATGTTCTCTTCCATATGCTACCTCTATAGCTTTTCTTCTTCCTTCCTAATTACAACCCTTAAATAGAATTCGTGCCTCATATCGAATTTACCAAGTATCATAATTCCTCCAGGTGGTAAAGATACCTTGAGACAAGTGCTGGGCATAGAAGCCACAGGGCATAAATCTGCAAAGAAGTAAAAAGCTAAACATTTCAAACAATATGGCTTCTCTCTCACTTACCAACTTTACATTTCCCTGTATGGCCCCGGAAGATGGCTGGTTAGCCAGAGACGGGTAAGATTCCTCAAGGGAGGAACAACCTAAGACAGGCACAGTCACAGGGGGGCCATCAGGTGAGAAATTGGGGAACAACAGTGGTGAAGCTTAGAACCTCACCCACCCCCTGTGTTAGAGAAAGCTTCTGCATCCATGGATGTTTTATTGCCCTTGTCTAGCTCGGATTAGCACATAGTCTACAGGCACACACCTGATCATCTACAATTGCTCTTACAACACTAAACTATGTTTTCTACCTTTATCTTGCATCTACCTACCACTTCAGCAGCTTATTAAAAATAAAAATAATAATAAAGGGAGAAATGTGGGATCCACATATAAATCAAGTATAAAAATCAAACGAATATTCATATTTGACCTGATTGTTTATAGTTCATAATGCGTGATCAAAACTGAAAGTTTCTGTGATGACTGCCCTTGTACTGTTCACCATGTAAGAACTTGTTCGTTATGCTTCAGAAGATTGGAGACTGAAGAGAACTAGGCTTGAGATGGATTAATGACTGTGCATTGAGCATTGACCCCCCTATACAGAATTTTATTGTTGTTAACAACCATTTGATCAATAAATATGAGAGATGCCCTCTCAAAAAAAAAAAAAAGTGGCCTCTCTTCCTCCACACTGTATTTGTCTCCTTTGCTACTTTGGGCCAAAAGGGAAACAAAGGAAAAAGGCTTCTGCTCAGCTCTGGGGCCCTGCACACAGGCTTCTTAATCAACATTAATTTTGCAGACAGTTTGAGATTTCTGCAAATAACTCCTTGCCCGAAGCTTGCCTCCTCCAGGAGATAAGGAAGTAGGTGTGAAAATAATGATTGTCTTATCAAAGAGTCTTAGGAACACAATGACCAGACCTGGGTGGGTGAGAGGCAACTAACCAAGGACAGGAAGCTGCTCAGCTCTCCTGGAACCTTCACGGGTGCCAGATGTTTGCAGCCATCAGTCACTTCTAAACCTGCCCCCGACCCCCTCTGCTCCCCTTAACATAAAAGAAGCTTGCAATCAACCCTGGGTTAAGATGGTGCTTTCGGACATGAGTCCACCATCTTCTTGGTCTGCTGGCCTTCTGAATAAAGTCACTTTCCTTGCCCCAGTAACTTGGTCTCCCAATTTACTGACTTGAGTGTGGAGAGCGGCATGAGCTTGGATTTGGTAACAACTGGTTCTCTAAAAAAAAAAGTAAACAAAAACTGCCTGTAACCTTTCCTCCCAGGCCCTGGGAAAAATCTTCAGGTCACGGAAGCGCACTTGCTTCACACTCTGTGCTCTGTGCTGCCGCCACTGACAGGGAAACAGGAAGTTGCAATCCGAATTTTTTCTGGGCTCTCTATACCTATTTTCTACCTCCAGGACTGCCAGTTTAACTCCAAAGATAAGAAAGACATATTTGTACTTAACAAAGGATTTGTTAAACTGACAAGAGATCAATGTCCAGGACACACAAAGAACTACAAATCAATGAGGAAAAGATAAGATAAATCAAGAACAAGGGAAAATGACTCAAATGGGCACTTTTCAAAAGAGAGAATGGGGCTGCTCATCTTTGGAGCATGCTCACACTCCCTCCTTGAGTGTGTACTTTTGCTTTATTAAACTACTCTTTGCTTGTACCTGCTAGACCTACTTGTGAATTCTTTTACCATCAGTCAAGATCTCTTTCTGAGGTTGATGTCTCACCTAGTATACAGGGAGGTCTCCCCAGATTGGATTGCCTGGCAACAGGAACAATTCTCACTAAATATAATGTCCCTTGCATGATAGCTAGGGCTAATATGAGATTACATGCTATCCCTTCTCTTCAGACAAGGCAGATCTGTTTTCGGATTATTGCAAACTCCTGCCCCTTCTTTTTCAAGATTAGAAAAAATTCATTCGTTTAATGAATTAAAAGCCCCATATTTTTCCTGCAAGTGTTCAAATGTAAGCTTTTTTTCTTTGGTCGTAAAGTAACAAAGAGCCAACAACAAAAATAAGAGGTAATGGAAATGGCCAATAAACATAATATGATGTTGAATACCATTAGAAATCCCAGAAGTGCAAATCAAACTACATTTTAAACCACAATGAGATACTGCTTTAATGATTTGCAAAATAATAATTATAATAATCTGTTTACATCAAGTATTGGTGAAGATGTCTAACTAAAACATTACTGGGATTGCAAATTGTTATGGTTGATCCAGTCACCTTGGAAAACAATTTGGTACTGTCTAGTAAAGCTGAAGATGTGCCTTCCCTGTGACCCAGCCAAACCTCTCCTGGATAAATGTCAGGAAAACTTACCAACATGCATCAGGATTCATGTACAACAGAATTTGTAACAGCATTGTCTGTAGTTAGCAAGAAACTGGAAAGAGTCCTATGTTTATCAAAAGTGGAGTAAGTTTTTGGCTGATCCATACAATGGAAACTATAACAATGAAAATGCTGAGTGAAAAAAAGCAAATCTTGGAAAAACAGAATAATTCTAATTACATAGAGCTCACAAACTTGCAAAACTAAACAATATGTTGTTTGGGGATAAACACATTGGTGGTCAAACTATAAACAAAAGTAAGGGAATACAATGTTGCTCATGTGAAACCTGAGCATAAGATTGTATATCAATGATACCTTAATTAAAAAAAAGTAAGGGAATGATCAGTGTAATATTTAGGGTAGTGGCTACCTCTGAGAGAAGAGAAGGGATGGGATAGGGACAGACATTCAGGGGTCTTAAAAGGCATAAGTGACATTCTCTTTCTAGGACATGGGTACAGAGGGTTGTAGAATGTACTCAATATTTACACAGTATTATAAATATTCTTTTGTAGACATTAAATAGGTTCAGTGTCAAGTACCTTAGAGGTTAGACTCAAGGAGTAAGGTCACCATTCCAAGGTACTCAACTATATGGCTTCTCTTGGTAGAGCCAGGTAAATGAACTGTCATGCTCTGGGCAGATAGCAGAACAGGAATTTGTGATCTGCTCTGCTCTTCTGTCTCAGGCTGGGCTGCAAAGGGGCAGGGAGGAGATGGGAGGGCATTACATACCTCAGGCTGTCAGGCTTTATTACATTTGCAAAACTGGTCTGCAGATGCAGCACAAGATAGAAAGCTCCATCCAGAATCACCCACCCCACTGCTGATCGCCCTGCAGTCAAACACCCACCAGATACAGATACACATCTTTAATATCCAGAGGGGAAATGAATTCCCCTGCTTGGTCTGCCCATCTGGCCTCGCCTCTTGCCACAATCAGTTTATCTGGCAGATCTTCCTCCCCTATAAAACAAGAGGAGAAATTGTTCTTCCACAATTTTGATTTCCATCATGAAATCATCGTCAAAGTGGCAGGGCCCGGATATTCGTCATTCCTTCTTTCTTTTCTCCCTCCCTTCAGGTTGGCGTCTGCACCAGAGCTGTCTGTGGAGATGAATCAGCCCTGAACCCATCCTGGAAACTGAGCAGTCTAGTGGGGTAGAAGGACAAGAAAGCAAATAATCATGGAACCAAGTTTAACAGAGGTAATCAAGCATCAGGAGCAAAGAAAGATAAAAAGATTAACTCCACCAAGGTGGTGGTCTGGGAGGTTTCCCAGAGAAAATGAATTTTCATTTTCTCCAAAATAAAGTTAATATTTTTCTTACTACAAAAGAAACACATGCTTATTTCAGAAAAATGAGAAAAAACACAGAAAAATGATATTTAAAATATTATTTTCTCACCACCAAAACATTTATAGGTAATCCCTTAGTGTATCTTGAGAGGTACTAATTGAACTGAATCCTTATGAGTAGGAGCCATGGGTTAAGTTCTATTCTTTAAACTTTGGGATGGGTACCTTATTGCTTTTAAATTATTCTTTACAGTGTACATATCTAGTAAATATACTCTTATGTATAAAATATCTCACAATTAAAGTTAAATAAATGTAATATCTAGCTGAGGATTTAGGGAGGACTAAGGCTAGATATTTTAGTTGTCACTAAACTTGATTTTAACTCTTAAGAATTGCTGACAAAACTGGAATCACAGTCCATAAAATTCTGTATTTTTGGTTTCTAAAATTACAAGAAGCATAAAAATCACAAGAGTAAAATGGAATTTATAAAAGAATCTATGGGCCATGAGTGGGCACAGGAAAACTGATGAATACAGATTTAAAAAAAACCCAAACAATGAAAAGGCATCTGAACCAATTTAAGCAACCAGAGATCAACTCAAATCTTTCAAGTCTCACCCTAAAATTTAAAAATGTTATCAGAAGAATGAATTTCATTTACATTCTGGAAGTGGAAAAACAGTTTATAACCCTGTCCCTGGTTAATGCAATAACAACAATGTAAGGTTTAATATTTTTTTTAGTACCAAGGTGTGTATCTAATGTGTTTTTATCAACTGGCAAAAGCTGGCCCTTGGGACGTCTTGTGGATAACCAACAAGTTGTTCTAAATTTGAACTGCCAGAGGCGCTATTGTCTAGTGCTTAGTAAATGGGTTGAGTAAAAATGTATAAACATATTCAACAGAAATAGAAGTCTGAGTTATGAAAGAATGTTAAGGGAAGATGGGGCAGAGGTGGCTTTTTCCAGGTAAAGAATGGGTCATTCTAGGCAGATGCAACAGTAGATGCGAAGGTAGAAAGGCACTCCGGGAACAGCAGTAATCTGGTGTGACAAAGGAAATGGTCCCTCAGCTGTCCAGCCCTTGGGGTTACTGCTCGGGCATTGGGCCTAAGAGGTCTCCCAGCTCTCCGCCTTTCCCCTCTTCCTTCTCCCCGGTTCTCCATTGCCTTTTCCCGCGCCCTGCTGGCCCCGCCCCCGGTAAACAAACCACGGCTTGGACCTGGAGCCTGGTGTGGTCATCTCCCCGAGTCTTCCCGACGGCGCGCGGGGCTGGTGGCGCTGTTTAATGACGTATCATTGACAGCGTGTGGCGGCCACCCAGGAGGCTGTTGCTTTGGTGAGCTGCCAGGTAAGGGTCTAGGTTAATCTCCTGACAGGCCAGGGCGCCTTCAGAAGGGGCGGGGAAGGCCAGGATTTTGCAGCCAGGGAGGCGGGTTTGTTGTCTGCAGAGTCGGGAAGCTGAGGAGAGGGGGTTGGAGGCCCAGAAACCTAACTCCGGGTCAGAGCTAGGGGGCGTGTTGGAGTAGAGGCTGCTACCTGGTTGGGTGAGGGGAGGGGTCCAGCCCAGAAGGTTGGCGGAAATTCTAGGGTCTGGATTGGGACGAGGGCAGTCGGGATCTTCGGGTCTGGACAAGGAGTTATTTCAGGAGTTCAACCTTCAGTTGAGTGGCTCAGGCTCACGACTCTCTCACCTCGCCCCGTCCCGCCCGCTTGCTCCCGGGGGCTCTCGCGGGCTGCAGGTGCATCATGTCTAGCCTGGGGCCTTTGGGCGGCGCTCGCGTTGGGCTGGGACTGTTGCTGGGCACCGCCGCGGGCCTTGGATTCCTGTGTGCCCTTTACAGCCAGAGGTGGAAACGGACCCAGCGCCCTGGCCAGAGCCAGAAACCGACCAACTCTCTGGACTACACGCAGACTTCAGAGCCTGGACTCCAGGGTAGGAACTGGTCCCGAGCCCATAATCACGCCAAACTGATGGGCCTGGGGTCTGGGCTGCTGGTAGCAGAGCCCGTTGTACAAGACAACGGAGCGGAGTGTCTGAGATTTCACCTTTTTGAAATGCTTACCTAAAAGGAAAGCATCCTTCTTCTTCTATACTCTTTCTCCTGTAATTTCAGGCAAGTACATTGTGAAAAGGCTGTTGAGCTTTTTCAGTTTTAGTTCTGGGCCCACAGTAGTGCTACATGTGTTAAAGATACTTGATTACTGTTGGGTGAGGTGTTTAGTATGTAAAGGAAGAGCCCAAAACAAGGCATGAAAAAAATCAAATTTTGTAGGAATTAAGTCTTGAGGCTTGTATGTTAAATTATGTAATATTGAAGCTAACTTTAAGACTATCAAGTCCAAGTTTTATCCTTATAGAGAGAATCAAGACTCAAAAAGATTATGTAACTTTATGAGGTTGTCACAGAGCAAGTGGCAGGATTGGGCCTGCTCACCTGGTCCTGTGGACTTTACACAGAACGGGGCTGGGAGTGCTCTTACTGCAAGTAAAGCTGAAGATCACTGGAAGCCAGCCCCAGCTGAGTTGGGTGGTACTTTCAATTTTGCAAACTTTAATGTTAACTCATTTGAGCAAAGTATCTAAGGCTGGTTCAAATCACTCCCCTTAATGTTTGTGTAATGGAGGAGCATTCAGATGTCACCTCATGTTAATTGGGAGTGTTTTCTCTGATGACCAAATGCCAGGTGGTTTAGAAGTTAGTTTTACAATAGTTTTCAGAGTCATCACCTTAGGTTGCAGCTGTTTGTCAGCATTTTAAAACCTGGTGGTAACCTAGTATTGCACATGTGCTTATCTTTCCTTTCTTTTCCTTGTGTGTGTTTGTAATTTCTTAGCAGTAATGTTCCATCTGCTGAGGTTTGGAGAAAGTGGCCACATTCCCAGGGGTATTCCTTTAACACTGCTGGATGTGTATTGTAACCTCATCTAGATTGCTACTAGATTTCCTTTAAACAGATTTATGCTTGCCTGGATAATGTGTCGTGCCTTCCTTGCTTTCTTTTTACATTTTCCAGTCCAGTTGCCTTCAGTAGCTATCGTCTTACTGGCATTTACAGTTGGAATTTTGTTTTATTAACGTATCACTGATACACACTCTTATGAAGGTTTCACAAGAATACAGTTGGGATTTACCTAGAGCTCAGTTTGGGCTTGGTAATGGGGTCTTTCCGATGGGGTCTGGATGGGCTTTTTCCAGTGTACTTTTTGCTCAGTAAATGCCCCTTTGTGTCCCTCTCTGAAGATACTAAATGAAGCTCTTGAGAGGAGCTCAGAGTCTTCTTTGGTATTCTTTGTGGAGTGAGAGATCAGAATTTGAGTGAGCTCAGTTTTAGTTTTTCTGTGTGGTGGGTTCTGCCTGCCTGGTACTTGGGTACCATAGTCAGGGAAAGGTTTTGCTGTTACTCTAGCCGGGCAGCTATCCTGCCTTCTAGCAAGGATATTACATTATGTTGTGGTATGTGGTGCTCTTGAAGGCCCAGCTGTGGAAGGGTCTTGGAACAGAGGGCTTTAGTTGGGACCTTTACTTTTTTTCTGGATAGTTACTTGGGACATGTTACCAGGATTTAGCTGTGAACATAGGCTATGTGAGCCTCAGAGGTCTTTGTAAAGTGAACTTTAGTGAGAAGCACAAGTGTTCTTGAATTCTAGATTCAAGATATTTCTTGACCATGTCCCATGGGCATCACCACCTTCTGTTCTCCTTCCTTCAGTGAAGCCATTGCGGGCCATCCCAAGTGAGGCTGGGGATGCTGTGGTGCTGCCCAGTCTTCCACGAGGTGGGCAGGAGGAGGTGCTGGATCGCCTGGACTTTGTGCTGACCAGTCTGGTGGCACTGCAGCGGGAGATAGAGGAGCTGAGGAGCAGCCTGCAGGGGCTTGCTGGGCAGATTGTTGGTGAGGTCCGGTGAGTAATATATTCATCTCTCCTGCCTTGTCCCCCACCCCAAGTTCCTTGCCCCTACAGCTGAGCTGTGTTTCAGCCTTTGCTGTCTGTCTCCAAGGAATAAGCCAGTTTTATAGGTTCTCACCTAATTAGCAAGGAAGTCATACATTTGGTACTGTGCCTTGCACAAGTTCCTTACTGTGGTCTGTTGTAGCAGCTGAGAAATTTTGTTCAGACTAACCAGCACTGCCTGGGCAGGCTGGTTCAAGGGAGCTGCCCTTTTTGCTCTACCAAGAGCAGAGACCTAGGATTTTCTATGTTCTTGGCCTTTAGTGAGGACTGGTAATAAGAGGCTCTCTCATGATGAGGGGAAGGACAAGCTGGATGGGTCCTGGTGGCATCCTCTAGAAAGGGGCCTGCTTTTCAGGTCCCATATGGAAGAGAACCAGAGAGTGGCTCGGAGGCGAAGGTTCCTGTTTGCCCGGGAGAGGAGTGACTCCACTGGCTCCAGCTCTGTCTACTTCACGGCCACCTCAGGAGCCACGTTCACAGATGCTGAGAGTGAAGGAGGGTGAGTCATCTCTCCTGGAGGCAGTTGTCACTTCAGCCAGGTTACATTTTGTCAAAGTAATGTTTATCAATGGAGAATCCACACCAAGCTGCTGTCAATAATTTTTGGGATATGGTAACTATGTAAATAAATAAAATACAGAACAGTTGAAAGAAAAACCATCCACCTTATGTCATCCATACAAATGGAAATGTTAACAGTAGTTATTGCTTGCATCTGTTATTCTCATCTGAATAGGTTTGGTTTTTATATAGTATATTTTTGATTTTTGTTTTCCTATAACATTAGTTGGGCATTTCCTTGTGTTATTTCAGGACTTTGAAAGCATTGTTTTATGACCTTATTCCCTTCACCGAGGGGCTTGGCTGGGTTTACAGAGCTCTCTAGGCACTAAATATGCTCCCCCGCCCTGGGAGTTCCTGTCTTCCCCCAGGGAGGCTTGCTCTGCTCACTTGCCATCATCACAGGTAGCATGTTAACTGTCCCAAGTAGTTGGTGGCCCAGCAGGTCTAACCACAGCCCTACTGTGAGACGGGGCAGCAGGCAGCAGCCTGGTGGACAGCCTCCAAACTTGGTCAGGCTCCTTTACACTAGTGCCATTTTGAAATTTTGGTCCCAAGGATGGAAGTCTGAACGAATATCTTTGCTATAGTGCCTTATGCCATTAGTGGCAACAGCTGCCCTTGTTTGTTGCTGGCTGCAGTCATCCAGGTGGCCTGTGTGAGGTCTGGAAGCTGATCTCTCCTTGATGGCCTCTGCTGACCTTCCTTAAAGCAAAGACTGGTGCAGAGAGCATCCAAGCATTCTGTCAGGTCAGAATGATTTAGCTATAAACACGTTATAATATTAACTACTGTTTATTCCTATGTGACACTCTTCTAAGTACTTTAGAGGTACTTCCTCACTTAATCCTCACAAGGATCCTATGCATTAGTTGCTGCTCTTCTCCGTTTCTCAGGAGACCTGAAGCTTAGTAAGGTTTGACATCTTGCCCAGGATTGCACTACTAAGTGCAGGTGTGGGGGGTCTCTGGTCTGAGGCATGGCTTGGTCCTCAGGGCTCAGAAGGGCTTTCATAGGAGGACATGTCACATGCAGCCCTTGGGTGTTTTTCCCATTGACTAAGAGCTGCCACAGCTCACTGCCCATAGCAGTATGGTTTGTTCAGTACATCTAACTCAAGACATTTCAGCCTTGTTTTCTTGGGCAATTATGTTCTCCTGCCTCTCCTCAGTATTACTGTTTTCCCACGTCACGGTTATTGGGCATCAGTGCTGGATTTGATTATTGCTCAGGTGCCTCTTGAAACAAGTGCAGTCTTGGTAAAGAGCTTCAGTCCTCCATTTGTGACTACTGTTACGTGAGTTGTCTGATCTCTATTATATGTATTCTCAAGGGCTAGCAGAAGTGACCCTTTTCTATTCAATTTACCAGATACATCTGGGCTGAGAGATGCTTCCAGGGGGCTTTTAGAGGAGGGGGCAAAAATGAAATAAATATCTGACATCTGGACTGAAAAGAAAGGATGGAGTAGTTGATGGTGGATCCTGAGACTTAAGGAGCATCTCTCTGCAACAAGAAGCAGGTCACTTGGGTGGGGAATTGACATTTGAACTTTGGAAGAGGACAGAACAGATGTCACAGTTCTGCCCGAGATCAGGATGGAGAACTCAAGGCTCTTAAAAGAATCTGTTAACAGCTTAACTTCTGGGAGCAGTGAGTTTTAACCAGGGAAGCTTGAGGTGTACACTGGGGCTCCCGAGGTCCTAAGGGGCAGGACAGGCCTACCAGCCACCTATGATCTAATGACAGGAAGGGTGGCTTTCTTAGTTATAGCTCCAGCAGGCTCAGCCTCATGGCTGATTATGTGACACGTGGAAGCCAATGGTGCTGTATGGTGTAAGAATCTGGTTTAGCTGCTGCTATCTGGTGCCATGGCCATGGTGAATGATTCTTTTTCTCATGGTCAGTGCAATAGAGGTCAAGGGGGATTTCTGGGAGGAGACCACAAACTCTGGAATGATTTTAATCATGTGGGCCTGGGGGAAGCAGCGCTTTGAGGGATCAAAGGATAAGAATATTTGATGGGCTACTCCCATATAAAAACTGTATTCTCTTTTCCAAGTAAACAGCAACTTTGAGCTCCTAGGGGATCGACTGAATGGCAGAAGCACATCATCTTATGGATCTGTGAGCTTGTCCCCCGAGCATCACACTCAACACAGCTTCGGTTCTCTCCCTGTCAAAACCCAGCTTGCCCTCTGGCAAACCTTCCCAGGCATCCCCACTAAGAGGGATTGCTTGCAACAGTACTGTCACTCCTTGGGCATTTATCACCTCATTTAGGTTGGTCTTGTCTTCCACACCACTGAGTCTCACAGTCAGGGCTCATCTGGTTGCCTTTGCTTCAGCTCAGCCTGCATAATGGGGCTTATGAGTTGAAAGAAACAAGTACCAGAAGAAGGGGATATGTGTGTAACTGAGTCTTTGATAACTCAATTGTGAGCCTTCCCCAAGGAGTAGAGTAGGGTAGCCCTGGCTTCCCTGTTCCCTGGGAGCCCTGGAGCCTTGACCCACTTGGGAGAAATGTGTTCTGCCTAAGCACACAGATCCAAAAGGCCTTTTCAAAGGCCCCTGCCAACCCCTGGCTAATCTCAAAAGCTACAGGGCATGTTAGACAGAAGGGTCACCCCTCTGTCTCTGGTGGATTTCTCCAAGGGCTGGGCTGGCAGTCCAAGAGGTGTGAGAGCATCGAGTGAATGTAGAGACAGCAGCCTGTGCAGCCTTGGCACCTGATTAACTTCTTCTCAAGCCCTGGAAGCCCTGGATGTCTTTGGTCACTCAAGTGTTTGCCCACTGCATGTCAGGTAGCAGACTAGCAAGGCAGAGCTCCGTGAAGTGCAGCTAATTGCTACAGGGGAAAGATACCTGGGTAACCTCTTAAAAAGCAAGGTGAGATTAGGAAGGCTTTAAATACCTTACAAGTTCCTGTAGATGTTCTCAGGGCCTCTTTGTTAGATGAGTTTGGGAGCTCCTCTATAAACAGCATGGATTGGGCACCAGGTCTGGTTGCTCACTTGCTACCTTCTAGAAGGAGCCTGCCGCCTGTCACTTTGGCATTCTGCCCCTGACTTGAGGCTGTCTTGTATTGAGTGTATTTGGGTCTCTCTCATCTCTACTTCTGTTCTGCTCCAGCCATGGGGATCTTACCCCTATCTTGCATTTCAGGATGGAGGAAGGCTCATCCCTAAATCCCTAAGATTTTGTATGCTCCAGAACTTTCTGGCTGCAACAAAACCTGCTTTTACTTCACTCACTCTGGAGAGCCCTCTGGAGTCTGGTTCTTCCCCCTGGAAGTCTTACCTTCTCCCCTGCTAAGTTTTTGTGATTCAGTTGGCAATTAGGAAAAATACCCTAATCAGCTGCTGCTGGAGACTGAGGCCCAAGAGAAATTTGGATCAAGTGGATGCTTCAAGGTTAGGGCTCCCTAGGAGACACCTGGCTTACAGCAGTCCCAGATACCTTCTCAGAGGACTTTGCATCTTCCTTCTCTCCTTTTTCCAGCCTTAGAATGGCCAGCCCCTCCCTACCCACAGCACCTTCCCAAGTTTTCCAAGGGCTACTCCTGTTGTCGTTCAGATTTGGTTCCTGACTTGGGACAAAGGTACATGCTGAATTGAGAAAGAAAATGTGCTTATTTGTTGGCTGCCCATGGCCTCAGAGGCTGGCACCCACCCATGTTGGTTCTGGCAGGTGCCTTTGGCTGATAAAGCAAAAATGACTGACAAACCCTTAGCATAGCAAGGTGTCTAGCTCAGGAGATCAGCTCCACCTACCTTAAGGCTTTTGTCATAAATATTTATGTCCTTTTTACTTATAAGAAAACTGTATGCTCTGGAGAATATACTCAATGATTCTGTAACATCTGACTGTGCTGATAGTAACTACACTAGAGAGGGTGAGGGTTTAATAATATGGGTAACTGCTGAACCACTGTGTTGTATATTTGAAACCAACGTAAGATTATATATCAATACTTTAAAAAAACATGATGTAGTTACATTAAAAAAAACCATGCTGAAGCAAACAATCATATAATATTAAAAGATAGAAAACATATTATCTCTAATTCTTCTATCCTGAGATCTACTGGCAACACTTTGGTACATAACCTTTCTAGGCTCCTTCTTTCTAGCCTTTTTATGTTTTCTGGCAGACTTGGTAGCTAAGCAGGGGGTTCTCATATTGGCCCTGGACTGTCACAGTGCCCCCAGTTGGGTCTTCTCCCAGGTCATTTTCCCAGTCCATAGTTCCCATGGGAGGCTTTCTCTTGAGGACTGATTTCTGTCCCTAAGTGGTGGAAATGGTGTACTTGGTGCTCTGGACCACAGTGCCATGGGGTCCCTCTTTGTTGGTGGGGGGAAAGACCTGAGGGCTCTGAAGCCAAGTGATCCCTTCCTTTACCCAGTAACTTATACTTCTCTGCCAGTTACACCACAGCCAATGCCGAGTCTGACTATGAGCGGGACTCTGACCGGGAGAGTGACGATGGGGAAGATGAAGTGAGCTGTGAGACTGTGAAACTGAGCAGAAAGGATTCTCTGGACCTGGAGCTAGAGGCGGCTTCGGGGCTGGTGCCTGGAGCCCTGGAGGCTGGAGACTCCCCTGGCCTGGAGGATGTGCTGCCCCTCCTGCGGCAGGCAGACGAGCTGCACCAGGGCAGTGAGCAGGGCAAGCGAGAGGGCTTCCAGCTGCTGCTCAACAACAAGCTGGCGGTGAGGCTTCAGCTGCCTGTGCGCCCTCCCTCTGTCCCTCAACCCATGCTGACCCCCAGAGAATGAAAATGGGCTGCTGTGGCTACTGACTCTGTAAGGTGACACAGGAAGGGAAATGAAGGCGAGATGGCTGGTTCTGCTTGTCCCTCAGGGTTGCATGTCCTATTCCAAGGAGGCCAGGTAACACCCCCAGGGGCCTAGGTGTACTGCCTCCCCCAGAGCTTCCTTTCAGGGGCAGTTCTCTGCCTCCTGTAGAGCTGCAAGAGCTCTAGCTCTACCTCACAGTAGAGGGAAATGGGGGAAGAGCTGGAATGTTTTTTTCCCCTTTTATTTCCCTTGAGTTTGAGCCCAAGCTGCCTGCCTCACTTGAAGTTTCCATCACAAGTGACAAATGTATAGGTCACTCAGCTGCAGTTCCCTTTTCCTTGGGGGCTAACTGCCAGAATTTATGCTCACCCAGAATAAATGCCCCCAGTTAGAATTTTATTTTCTTGGGCATTTGCATGTTTTTTGTCAGCAAAACTTCTTTTGCTGTGCCTTGTTTCATCTTTTGAGTCACCTTTCCTTCTTATAGTATTAGGCCAGAATGCCCTCACTCTGCAGGTTGTGCAACCTACTGGCTAGAGATCATGTGTTATCAGTTAAACTAACTGCACATGGGATGTCATGGGTGGGGGCTGAAGGGAAGGTTTGTGTATAAGACTGGCCTAATGTCAGTGTTTGTTAACACAAGCTTGGAAACTCAAACCTAAACTGTGGGGAGAAGGCCAGGGCCCAGTTCTCGGTGGCTGAGGAAGGAGGGGCCTCATCCATCCGTCTGTTTGGTCTGCAGTATGGAAACCGGCAGGATTTTCTCTGGCGCCTGGCCCGGGCCTATAGCGACATGTGTGAGCTCACTGAGGAGGTGACCAAGAAAAAGTCATATGCTCTAAATGGTAAGTGCTGATAGGTTCCTGGTGGGAAGGTGAGTGTTTCTAGGGTGTAGCTAGCCCATCTGCTTGGGGCCAGGGGAACCAGCAAGACACAGACTGTCAGGGCAGTTGTGGCTCATTTACTCACTAGGGACAAACTTTGGATTCCAGGGACTGGTACCCCTGCTTCCTCCTTGAGACAATAGCATAGTCTGCTTCTCTGAACATCTTGGTGGTTAAGTAATACAGGTCATGTTTTTAGTAGTAGTTGTATCATATTAACATAATTCTTTGTTCTTAATCCCAACCACAAAGAGAGGGCAAAGTCTTCTTTCTTAATCTGAAGAGGTTTTTTGCTGCTGCTTAGGAATCTGGTTTTAGTTACAGAGCCTGTGAAGCAAGTGTTCTAAGAATATGAGTGGAGTTTGGAGACACTAAGGAGCCATTTGGGAGAATACTGCTAGCTCAGGAGTCCCTGGGATGTACTTAGCAACTCTGTTGCCCAAGTTTATACCCTGGAGGGGAGAATGAATCTGACTTATGCCAGCTAAGAGTTCCTTCCTGTTTGTCATAAGGTCACTGAGAATCCTGGGACTTTAAAAGCAACTGGGTTTGTGGGGAAAATGATGTATCCTGGCTAGGTCCCTTATACCCTCAAATCAGGCATCATCTGGATTCCCTGGTCTTATAGTTAAGTTAGTTATCTAAAGTTACTTGAACTAGATTTGTTTTACTTTCCCACTTTTATAAGCACAGCCTAGTAAATATTGACTCTTTGATAATGTAGAATCTGACAATACCTCAAGGTCATAGCGTTATGTTGATATAGAAAGAACAGGTCAATTAAGTTGAATGTTTATTGATATTGATATATACCAAAGAATCCCTGTAAGTTTTAACAAGTTACTTAATTACTGTTTGATTCTAGCTTTTTAAAACAGTTTCTGCTTTCCCTCCTAAATTTCAGGTGAGGATCTGATCAGCTTTTGAGCTGATTTTTAGACTCTTGGTATCAGTAAGAACCTTTTCTTTCAATCATTGATTTTCCCTTATTAGTACTAGTAGCCAGCATGAATCCCAAAGGTGGATGTGGGGTGGTGGTTAGAGGACGGCCACAGCTAGCACTGGTCTGGCCTCTAGAGCTTAGCGCCCCTGGACAGGTTTGTTCCTGCGGGAGGGCAGATGACTGTGTAGTGTCTTTGAGGGCCCTACTGATGATACTCTAGATTTTTAGGACCATCCTTGTTGGGTTTAAAGTTCTTCATTTTGTTCTACCTCTACAAGTTGGACCAGGAGGCAGCCATTTTGTGGGATCTCAGGCAATATCTGCTCACCCCACCTAGCTTGGTAGGAACTAGTTATCCCATTCTTCACTATTTTCCTGGTGAGGTAGGGGATTTCTCTCAGATCCCTTTAAAACACCAAGAGACAGTGTCCTTCACTGGTGGGGCAATTTGGTCCTTGTTTGGAAGGAGATACAGGGCTCCCATCCAAGGTCTTAAAAATGTATTTGTTGTACATACATTATACCATAATTATTGTTACTTAAGCGTGAAGAAACATTTCAGATTAGCCAGCCTACCACCTCAACACATTACTTATGTTAAATTTTTCTCCATGTTCCCTTCCAAGCCCCCTCCCATTTTAATCAAAGGAGAAGTCCCACTTTGCAGTGTTTTCTTCAGTGTGTAAGCATGATGGTTCTCATCTGGAAGGCTCCAGGCTCCTTGACATGTGTTAAGGCCTTGATTTCTTAGTCTTGGTGCCTAGAAAACTTGAGTAAGACTAAGCAAAAGTCATCTGTTGTCAGGCCTCAGTCCATGTGGGTCTGGTGAGGAGTTTCAGCCTAGAGCTGTGATTAATGTTCTTGGGTCATAGATCCTTTTGAGAATTTGATCAAGCTAAGTGAGCTGTGAGACTGTGAAACTGAGCAGAAAGGATTCTCTGGACCTGGAGCTAGAGGCGGCTTCGGGGCTGGTGCCTGGAGCCCTGGAGGCTGGAGACTCCCCTGGCCTGGAGGATGTGCTGCCCCTCCTGCGGCAGGCAGACGAGCTGCACCAGGGCAGTGAGCAGGGCAAGCGAGAGGGCTTCCAGCTGCTGCTCAACAACAAGCTGGCGGTGAGGCTTCAGCTGCCTGTGCGCCCTCCCTCTGTCCCTCAACCCATGCTGACCCCCAGAGAATGAAAATGGGCTGCTGTGGCTACTGACTCTGTAAGGTGACACAGGAAGGGAAATGAAGGCGAGATGGCTGGTTCTGCTTGTCCCTCAGGGTTGCATGTCCTATTCCAAGGAGGCCAGGTAACACCCCCAGGGGCCTAGGTGTACTGCCTCCCCCAGAGCTTCCTTTCAGGGGCAGTTCTCTGCCTCCTGTAGAGCTGCAAGAGCTCTAGCTCTACCTCACAGTAGAGGGAAATGGGGGAAGAGCTGGAATGTTTTTTTCCCCTTTTATTTCCCTTGAGTTTGAGCCCAAGCTGCCTGCCTCACTTGAAGTTTCCATCACAAGTGACAAATGTATAGGTCACTCAGCTGCAGTTCCCTTTTCCTTGGGGGCTAACTGCCAGAATTTATGCTCACCCAGAATAAATGCCCCCAGTTAGAATTTTATTTTCTTGGGCATTTGCATGTTTTTTGTCAGCAAAACTTCTTTTGCTGTGCCTTGTTTCATCTTTTGAGTCACCTTTCCTTCTTATAGTATTAGGCCAGAATGCCCTCACTCTGCAGGTTGTGCAACCTACTGGCTAGAGATCATGTGTTATCAGTTAAACTAACTGCACATGGGATGTCATGGGTGGGGGCTGAAGGGAAGGTTTGTGTATAAGACTGGCCTAATGTCAGTGTTTGTTAACACAAGCTTGGAAACTCAAACCTAAACTGTGGGGAGAAGGCCAGGGCCCAGTTCTCGGTGGCTGAGGAAGGAGGGGCCTCATCCATCCGTCTGTTTGGTCTGCAGTATGGAAACCGGCAGGATTTTCTCTGGCGCCTGGCCCGGGCCTATAGCGACATGTGTGAGCTCACTGAGGAGGTGACCAAGAAAAAGTCATATGCTCTAAATGGTAAGTGCTGATAGGTTCCTGGTGGGAAGGTGAGTGTTTCTAGGGTGTAGCTAGCCCATCTGCTTGGGGCCAGGGGAACCAGCAAGACACAGACTGTCAGGGCAGTTGTGGCTCATTTACTCACTAGGGACAAACTTTGGATTCCAGGGACTGGTACCCCTGCTTCCTCCTTGAGACAATAGCATAGTCTGCTTCTCTGAACATCTTGGTGGTTAAGTAATACAGGTCATGTTTTTAGTAGTAGTTGTATCATATTAACATAATTCTTTGTTCTTAATCCCAACCACAAAGAGAGGGCAAAGTCTTCTTTCTTAATCTGAAGAGGTTTTTTGCTGCTGCTTAGGAATCTGGTTTTAGTTACAGAGCCTGTGAAGCAAGTGTTCTAAGAATATGAGTGGAGTTTGGAGACACTAAGGAGCCATTTGGGAGAATACTGCTAGCTCAGGAGTCCCTGGGATGTACTTAGCAACTCTGTTGCCCAAGTTTATACCCTGGAGGGGAGAATGAATCTGACTTATGCCAGCTAAGAGTTCCTTCCTGTTTGTCATAAGGTCACTGAGAATCCTGGGACTTTAAAAGCAACTGGGTTTGTGGGGAAAATGATGTATCCTGGCTAGGTCCCTTATACCCTCAAATCAGGCATCATCTGGATTCCCTGGTCTTATAGTTAAGTTAGTTATCTAAAGTTACTTGAACTAGATTTGTTTTACTTTCCCACTTTTATAAGCACAGCCTAGTAAATATTGACTCTTTGATAATGTAGAATCTGACAATACCTCAAGGTCATAGCGTTATGTTGATATAGAAAGAACAGGTCAATTAAGTTGAATGTTTATTGATATTGATATATACCAAAGAATCCCTGTAAGTTTTAACAAGTTACTTAATTACTGTTTGATTCTAGCTTTTTAAAACAGTTTCTGCTTTCCCTCCTAAATTTCAGGTGAGGATCTGATCAGCTTTTGAGCTGATTTTTAGACTCTTGGTATCAGTAAGAACCTTTTCTTTCAATCATTGATTTTCCCTTATTAGTACTAGTAGCCAGCATGAATCCCAAAGGTGGATGTGGGGTGGTGGTTAGAGGACGGCCACAGCTAGCACTGGTCTGGCCTCTAGAGCTTAGCGCCCCTGGACAGGTTTGTTCCTGCGGGAGGGCAGATGACTGTGTAGTGTCTTTGAGGGCCCTACTGATGATACTCTAGATTTTTAGGACCATCCTTGTTGGGTTTAAAGTTCTTCATTTTGTTCTACCTCTACAAGTTGGACCAGGAGGCAGCCATTTTGTGGGATCTCAGGCAATATCTGCTCACCCCACCTAGCTTGGTAGGAACTAGTTATCCCATTCTTCACTATTTTCCTGGTGAGGTAGGGGATTTCTCTCAGATCCCTTTAAAACACCAAGAGACAGTGTCCTTCACTGGTGGGGCAATTTGGTCCTTGTTTGGAAGGAGATACAGGGCTCCCATCCAAGGTCTTAAAAATGTATTTGTTGTACATACATTATACCATAATTATTGTTACTTAAGCGTGAAGAAACATTTCAGATTAGCCAGCCTACCACCTCAACACATTACTTATGTTAAATTTTTCTCCATGTTCCCTTCCAAGCCCCCTCCCATTTTAATCAAAGGAGAAGTCCCACTTTGCAGTGTTTTCTTCAGTGTGTAAGCATGATGGTTCTCATCTGGAAGGCTCCAGGCTCCTTGACATGTGTTAAGGCCTTGATTTCTTAGTCTTGGTGCCTAGAAAACTTGAGTAAGACTAAGCAAAAGTTATCTGTTGTCAGGCCTCAGTCCATGTGGGTCTGGTGAGGAGTTTCAGCCTAGAGCTGTGATTAATGTTCTTGGGTCATAGATCCTTTTGAGAATTTGATCAAGCTTGTGGACCCTCTCCTCCATAAAATGCACACTTACCTAAAATTGTATACAATTTCAGAGGGATTTAGGATACCCTGAAGCCTGTCCAGAACCCCAAATCAAAAACCCTCCAAGGCAAAGTCTGTTTGAGACAGTTTCTGATTGCCACTGGGTCTTTTTATATTTGATATGCTTTGAGCACATCAGGTGGGCATTGTAAAAACAAGGTAGCTGGGGCAGCTGATGGGAGAATGAAGTGAAGTAGAAGTCATCCCTGAGGAGCTATTTAGTTTGTCATTCTGCTCAGGTTCACAACTATTTCCAAAGGGATTGGTAACAAAGCAGTCATTCTTCCCATAGCTCCTCCTGGGGAAGTGTGCATAGGAGCCCTTGTCAACTCTGTATAACTTTGCTCTATAGGAAAAGAAGCAGCAGAGGCCGCCCTGGAGAAGGGGGATGAGAATGCAGAATGTCACCAGTGGTAATAACCCAGTAGGGTCTGGGGAACAGCCAGCATGGGATAGAAGAGAGGAGAGAGCCTGTCTTCTCTCTGCCTTGGCCACAAAAGCATGCCAGAGAAACCGGGAAAGGGTGCTCTGGGCCCTTACTTCCATTTGGCCACCCTATCATCAGCCAGGAACCCAGGGAAGTTTTCTTGGGGAGGTGCCTTGGTGGGTGAGGCAAGGGAGGAATGCAAACTTTTTTCTGTTGGGACTTGGAGAAATGAGTAGCTTTGTAAGTCATCCTAGCTCCAAAGCTTGTGGGTTCTTGGGTCCTCAGGAGGCTGGGACAATTCACAGCTCCACTCTCCTGTACAAGCTCTTCTTTGCCCTACCTGCAGTCCTTGGCTGGTGGTGGACTTTGGCTCTTTGCTTGACTTGCATGAGGAAGAGGATATGAGCTCACCCCTCAAGAAGTTCAGTAGTCAATTTATTAACATCAGCCCTATTTATAGTCTCCTGTGAGGCAAAGTTCTGCCAATTTGAATAAATCAGGGCCAACTTGTGTCCTAGGGCCTGGTTCCAGCACTACTAATTTTAGTGAAAATGTTTTCCATATCTCTGCCTTCAGAGTTGGGAAAGGCTGTTTCTCCATTGGTTGCTGGAACTCTCTCTGCAAAGGCTCTTCTTAGAGACCTTGCCTCTGTTTCTTGGGTGTCACAGGTGCTGCTTTCCCATGGGCTTCCTTGGGGCTCCTGTGCTTCCAAGAGTGGGATCTGGCCTCATAATTTCTTAGCTATAGTTGGGGAACAGCTGTTTTGACTAAATGGGGAACTGCCCCTCTGAAATGTCTGACAGAAACATCCCAAGATATTCAGTGAATATATGACAAAGCAACTTGGACCTTTAGACACTCATTTAATGTCAACTGTGCTTCTAGAAAGTGTGTGTGTGTGTAATGACACATCTCTTCCTGTTTCTGTTGGTTCCCAAGTTAACATCAGAAATTACTAGGTTATATCCTTGTCTGAGAATAGGGTTTCCCAAAGATATACCTGTATCCTTCCAAGGCTAATGATACTTTCTTTTAGTGTCTGCTCAGGAGACAAAAAGCAATGTATTCAGGTCTCTTAGACTTCAATACTGATTATCAGAAATCTAAGTTCTTATGAAATCTATGACTACTCATTATGAGGGGAAATTTGGACTGAGACTTGCCTAATTATTACCAGATTTACCAGGGAGGATTCAACTTTTCTGTACCTCATATTCTTTGGAGAATGGTGAGCCTCCCACTGGATTTGCTAAAGAATGTGAATTGGGACCACAGGTCTGTGAAAAGAGGAATTTATATACAGATGGAAATGAAATATTCAGCTCGAGTTGAGGGGGTTATGGTGGGAAGCCCATTCCTTGTCCCTGAGCTTGCTGCCGCTTTCCCCCTTAGGTATGCAGTGCTTTGTGGTCAGCTGGCTGAGCATGAGGGCATCCAGAGGCGCATCCAGAGTGGCTTTAGCTTCAAGGTGAGGAAAGGCTTTCTCTTCCTTCCTTTGTGCTGGTCTAGTCTGGATTCTTTGCTCCATTCTAGCTCCTTGTAAAGGATGTTCCTGCAGCCTCTATAACTTGCCCCTCTTCCTTTAGCAATTCTGGTGTCTGATGTTAGGTTATATTTATATTTTCTCCTCAGGAGCATGTGGACAAAGCCATTGCTCTCCAGCCAGAAAACCCCATAGCTCACTTTCTCCTTGGCAGGTGGTGCTACCAGGTGAGCAGATTTCAAGGCTTAACTTAAGGGCCCTAAGTGTCCTGTGACACTGATCTCCTTGCAGTGAAAACTTAGAAGGGTCCTCAGCCTGATGTGGCTCAAGTGCCATTTCCTCTAACAGTTCTGTTACTAGTGATTGGACCCAGCCATATTTGACTCTGTTTTCCATACAGTATATTCAGTGTTTCTAAAAATTTCTTAAAAACTTTTTATTTATACTTTGATCTTTTCATGGCAGGTCTGTCACCTGAGCTGGCTAGAAAAAAAAACTGCTGCAGCCTTATTTGAAAGCCCTCTTAGTGCCACTGTGGAGGATGCCCTCCAGAGCTTCCTTAAGGTAAGGAAGGAAGGGAGGGGGAGGGGAGGGGTGGGCAGCTGCCAAAGATACCAGGGTAACCTTGTTTTTCCTAAGGACATTATTGGGAAGGTTTTTGGTAGGGGGCAGTTTTATGTTTGCCTGTTCTATGGGAAAAGCAGAACCACCTAGAGAGCTTATAAAAAATTCCCAGACCCATGGGATCAGTCTCTAATTTAGAGACTAGAAATCTCTAATATAAACTTCAGTTTGACTTGAATTTGTGAACCCCTTATTGAAATGCCTTCCTTTCTTCTCCAGGCTGAAGAACTACAGCCAGGATTTTCCAAAGCAGGACGAGTATATATTTCCAAGGTAAACTACCTGCCTATTTTGACATGATGAAAACAGGGATGTTGATACTTCAGGGAACTCCTGAAAGCATACATATTCATTCCCTTCTAGTCTCTGGTACTATTTCTCCCAGGTTTTCACTGTTGTCTCATCTCAGTGTTACAGAGAACTAGGAAAAAACTCTGAAGCTAGACAGTGGATGAAGTTGGCCCTAGACCTGCCAGATGTCACTAATGAGGTAATACTTCAAAGAGCTTTTCTAAGGTTGGGTGCCCTCACTGAATGTGACCTTTCCAGAAAAGAACATCTCCCCTTGAAGTTTTAGTTCCTTAGAAGAGGGAGTAGTCTACACTTGTGTACATCTCACCTAAGGGAGAAGGCAGGTTTTGTAAGGCTCCAGGCTGTCCTGGAAAGGTAGGAAAAAGGACTATCAACAGCTCAGAAAGAAAGCGAAGGGCCCTTCTCCCTGGGTACCAGTGGTTTGTAAATTGTTGGCTTAGATTTTGAGTCCTATTCTTGTTTTGTCTCCCTAGGATTCAGCTTTCCAGAAGGACCTGGAAGAATTGCAAGTAATTTTAGGAGAATAATCACCTTTCACTGGCCTTTGTGACTTAAGGAGGAAAAAATCAAGTATTTTTTTCCCTTAGGCCCTGCTGAGATCAGGAAACTGAGCAACACTGGTTAAGAGACCGTCGTGACGAGTACCCACTATTCCCCAATTTCATTCCTATTGTCCACTGGTTAATTTATTCTAATCCCTTACTTAATCTGAAACTGGGGAAGCACTTGAGGCCTGGGTGTCTATTCTCTTCCATAAGCAAATTCTTACAAAATCAAGAAAAGTATAGCACCTGCCCTAGGGTTGAGTACAGGTAGTGTAATGAGGCTGCCTTGCCCCTGGTGAGGTAGATGAACTTAAAAGAGCCATAGGAACAAAACACAGAACTTTTGTACTGTCTAATCTCTTTCACTGATGAATATACCAAAGTATACAGGACTAAAACCACCTTCTACCTACCAGGGTAAAAGGAAAGGTCAGGGCAGCCCATGGAAGTTGCTCTCATCTATCATATGGATTCTAACTGTATTCCTGGGCCCAAGGGGCTGGACCACTTGACTTCCAGAGTCCTGACAACTTGTGGAATGACAGCAATGCAAAAAGACTTATGAGACTGTGAAATGATGATCTAAGGAGCTGGCTGGAATATATTTTGGCACAACCTTGAAATAAACCAAATTTGACTGAAAGTGATTATTTTCCCCTTTCTATGTTTGTTGTTAGCTCCTTATTCTTAATACTTCCATAATTGTTTCCTACTAACAAACAATCTATTGCAGACAAATAGATATGCAGCACCAAATACTTTAGAATGAACTCTTTGGCTAATGCTAATTTCTAGTGAAATTTTAGTTGCCTGTGAAATATAAGCAGAGAGCTTATTTTTAGCATAAGAAGGCCTATTCCAACTAAGCAGGTATTCCCTGACCCTCCAATGTTCACTCTTGTCAGGGCCAACAGCACAAAGCCTAATCCCACATAAAGAAAAATTTAGACAAGTTTCTAGGTCAAAGTCACTTAAATATATTATATGACTAAAAGATTGAGATGTTTTTATATGAGACCCAAGCCTCCGTTCGGCATCTGTCACTATGGCTTTATTATACCTTGCCAGGTTTGATTTGTGGTGTAGAGACAAAAAAGAAAGCCTGAGAAGTACTCTATTCTTTAAAGTCAGGGAACAGAACTGCTTTTAAAACAAAGCTGTATTCCTATCTCCCTACATATAGCAGGCTCAACACAGGCAACAGCAGAGATTTTTACTGCCTCTCCCCCCAATTTCAAAGGGCCTCTCAGCTTGTATTAGAAGAGCTGGGTAAACCCCATTCTGAGCAGAACTTTGAAGGTGAAGAAGAGTATCTCAAACCCCTGAAGTAGAATAATCTGGGCAAGTATCAGACCTCTACAAACTGACATTTACTGAATAAAAACAAAGGCCACACAGGAAAGCCATGGTCTAGCTATCTTGTAATATTATGTTAGGCTAAAGGATAATATATCCAATCATCTGAATATAGGACTTCCCTTTTAAAATTTCAGTTCTAAAGCAATAGAAATCGATTAAACCTACCCAGTGTCAAAAAGATACCATGAAAGCCCTATTTTGAAATAATCAGCTTGTACCAGACTAACGCCTGTAAATACGACATTCACTACAAATAATGTTTTTAGCAGCCTCACACTGAATCTATTTACTTAACAAGCGTCTGAAATGCTTAAGATTCCAGAACTATCTTGTATTGCTCTTAGCAGTAAAAAACCAAGCAAACAGATAGTGAAGGGCTGGCAGCCCAATAAGCCTGGCTTAGTACTCCTTAACTAAAAATAAATTCTTACATAATTCAGACATACAAACTTAAAAATGTGCTCCTGACAGAGAAAAAGAACCTGTGAAGAAACCCATTCCATTTGCCACATAGCTCATTTTTAAACATTATTCATATAGAGAAGAGTCAATCTCTCCAGCTTTAGCTCTTCTGCAGATATAACATTGCCCAATAGACAGCTTCTAGTCCTGAGTCAATCCCAAGGTTAGGTTATGTCAAAGGTATTCCATACCTCCCAATAAAAACCAAAGAATTCAGAGATTAATCCACTTTAGAAGGAACAAACATTTCAGGTCAGTTTGTAACTACTAACCTATCTCCTGTTTACACCATCAGAAAAGCTGATACAACAGCTGTTTTTCCAGAAGCCTGTTTCTGGCAGTCACAAAGGAAGCGACCTGTGAAGAACCCCAGTGAGCTGTCCTCTCCATTAGGTGCAGCACGTAGGTTTATCACAGGAAAAAACCAATGATTCAGTCTTTGGCATCTCCTACTCCATCTGCATTGATGGCAAACATAGCTTCAGCTTCAGGAAGACAGGGAGAGTCGTAGATTTTGCAGATTCTAGTTTCTCCTCTTCCTTTCCTAAGGTAGAGTCTGACCCAAAGATGGATCAAAACACCAAAGTTATTATAATTTAAAAATTATATTCACACTTATGGCAGATCTAAAAATTTTTAGACAAATGTATTTCATAAGAAAGACTTTAAGGGTCTTCCAGTATTCCTTAGGGCACTTAAAATAGAGGAATCCATTTCTGCCCTACTCCCCCTTAGTAGATTTTCTATATTGAAACTTTTTTTTTCTATCACTAATGAGGGAGAGGTATATTAATTTTTCAAGTTCATTCTTTTTTGAGCTTATAATTTGAGGGCTTACAATTTCTTTATAAACTAAAAGCAAATACCTGTACTAATCAGTCCATGACAATTTGATTTAGCAAGGGCTCTTGTAACACAATAAAGACTTTATTAACAAAGTTTAAATGGAAATGTTATATCTTCATGACTACTTCATAGTTAATATGACATTCCAAGATGAAGTCATCTACCCCATCACTTTACCTGGTTGTTGAGGCATGAGCAATAATATTTCCTCCAATAGGTTTTTTAGGATCTGCAGCAAACATGGCTGCTCCATCCACTTGGGCTACCACCTGGTTGGTGATTACCACTGCTACACCAAACTGATGGGGAAAGAATAAATGTCATTTTTTGTGGCCACAGACATTCCAAGGCCCTTATTTCTGCCGCTCCTTTCCCCAAAAAAGCAATGAATGCATATCTGATATCTTGACGACACAAGACCTTGATGTCCTGGCCTCCCAGCAAGACTTCTAGAATTCATGGCTCCCAAAAGTAGACATTCTTTGTCTCTACTCCTCAACTTACCTCATCAGCAAGTCGCAGAAGCATCCGCAGAAACCTGGCCAAATGCATCTGCCTGGCTGAAAGCTCACCTCGACCTGAATAGTCCGTTCTGTAGAGGGCAGTGGCACTGTCTACAATTAGCAGAGCATACCTATAGGGAACAAGGATTCTCTGAAGCCTGTTTCTAGCTTACATCAGATTCTGCTCCCTTCCTCACTACACTAAAATGTCATATTCATAGTTAAAGTTATATATAGAAATGTTTTATTAGATATTTGTATAGCATTCATGTCCAAAGCACCATATAGCAAGGTAAAATTTACAAGTTTCAGTAAATTATGGCTTCATTTTTAAAAAGTGACTTGACCAAAATCAAAAAGCAAGAGTATCAAAATAGGAACTAAAACTTAAATCTCCCATTTTCTAATTCAAGTTACTATGAATTTACACAAACTGCCTATACAAGATTCAGGGTAAGGGCCCTGAGAGCACATTCAGTGTCTTTTACTAAGCACATACCTAGATTCCACCATCATGGCTGATGCTTGGTAAAGGAGCTGGGTCTGGTGATCTGTGTTGAATCCTCGAGCATATGCTACATTATCCAGGACATCACTGCCAGAGAGGCCATATCTAGAAGAGAGGACAGACTTTTTATAGGCTATACAGAGCTCAGGCAGATGAGAAATCCACCTCTAAGAAATTACCTGGATGAGATTCCGGGAAAAAGATGGCAGAGTAATGATGGACAGTGACTGAATGGGGTATGTGGTGGGGACTTGAGAATGAGGGGAATCTAGTAACCATAATGTTGCTCATGGAATTGTATATTAACGATACAAAAAAAAAAAAAGATGGCAGAGTAAGAAGGCAAGGCAGAAACTTCCTCACCAAATCACATAGAACATGAAAATACAATAAACCTGAAAATGACCTCTAGACTGCAGAACTGACTACTACCTACATCTGGGGAAGAAGAGAGACCTCACAGAAAAGAGTAAAGTGGGAAAGCCACAATCCAGCAGGACCCAAGCCCTCCCCCGACCCCAGCCAACAGATGGGAGGAAAGGAACCAAGCAGGGAGGGAGGAGCCCAGGACCACTGAACACCTGGTCCTGAAGATCTGCTCCAGGAACACAAACCCACATTACATGATGCTCTGGTGATTAGTGGGGCTGGACAACAGAGACAGGAGGACACCAGGTGGGCTGAGATTCCAGCTGCTTGTGGAGAAGAGACACACTCTAACAGCCCCCTTGAGACAAAAGCAAAGTGAACAGTTTGAGAGACTTCCCAGCAGTGGGAGGGACACCAGAGGGGCAAGGGTTACAGAGCTCTCTGCTTAGGAGAAAGGGCAGGTAGACAATACTATTCCAGCCCGCTTTGCCCCAACAGGTTGGGAACTCTTGGGAGCATCAAACACTCTGTCCCCTTTGCTGGCAATGCCGATTCAAGACTCCTCCCTGTGGCTGGCCAGCAGAGAGTCAGACTTTACTGCCACGTAGGCAGAGGGAGGCCCTCCCAGATTTCTCTATTTTGGGCCAGCTGGGGAACTGGCCACAGGAGTAAGCCCTAGGAGCTACTTCCTCCTAGCAAGCGCTGGTCCCACTCACTTGTGACCCTGGCCATTGCTGCAGGCTGGGCAGAGGGTGGATCTGCCCACAGAAACTCCAGCAGCACAGCCCCAAGTTTTCTCCATGCACATGTGGCCAGCTGATGGCCCACACAGACCCTCTGAAATCAGATCACTACAAGCCAGACAGAATAGTGTCCTGCCCACTGTATGCCAACAGCTGGGGCTCCCACACTGGAAAGTGAAGTGTCTTGAGCTTCTGGGCAATAGAGGGTGCCTCCTCCATAAAGCTATTATTCCATAGGAAACACTGGAAAAATGAAGAGGCAGAGGAATTTGGTCCAAACAAAACCACAAGACAAAACACCAGAAAAAGGGGTGAGTGAAACTGAAATCACCAAGTTTCTTGATAAAGACTTCAAAGTTAAATCATAAACATGCTCACAAACCTTCAGAGAAATATTCAAGATCTCTGGGAGGACCTCAAGAAAAAGACAGACGACCTGTAAAAGAGTCACTCAGAGGTGAAGAATACAGTATTTGAAATGAAAAATACAATGGTGGGATTTAATAGCAGACTTTCACAGTCTGAAGAAGTTGTAAGTGAGTTGGAAATTAGGGAGCAAGAAAACAATAAAGCTGAAAAGCAGAAAAAAAGGATCTCTAGTAATGAAAGAAAAATAGAGAGGGCAATCCAAACAGAACAATATTTGCATAATAGGGGTACCAGAAGGAGAAGAGGGAGACAAGGGGTAGAAAGCCTCTTTGAGGAAACAATTATTCCCCCAAACTGGGGAAGGAAATAGACTCAGGTCATGGAAGCGCAGAAATCCCCTAACAAAAGGAACTCTAGGAAGACAATGCCAAGACATATAATTAAAATGGAAAAGATCAAAGACAAGAAGAGAGTATTGAAAGTAACCCGAGAGAGAAAAAAGATTATTTATAAAGGAAACTCCATCAGACTATCAGCAGACCTTTCAGCAGAAACTTTACAGGCCAGAAGGGATTGGCATGATATATTTAATGTAATAGAAGGACCTACAGCAAAGAATACGCTCTCTACCCTGCAAGATTATCTTTAAATTTGAAGCAGAGATTAAATAATTTTCAGATAAACAAAAATTGGAAGGAATTAACCACCACTAAGGCAGCCCTACAAGATATGTTAAAGGGATTGCTCTAGATGGAAATGTTCCTAAGGCTAAATAGCTGTCAGTGAAAATAAACTCACAGTAAAGGTAGTAGACCAATTAAATACCAAGCAAGTACAAAATTACACCAACTACTCCCAAAATCAGTCAAGGGATACAGAAAATGCAGAATATGACACCTAACATATAGTGGAAGGAGGAAGAAGAAGAGGGCAAAAAAGAAAAACCTCTAGATTGTGTTTGAAATAGAGTAATTATAAGGTAGCCTGTTACATAGTAAGGAAGCTATTCTTGAACCTTTGGTAACCACAAATACAAAGACTACAATGATAATAAATACATATCTATCAATAATCACCTTAAATGTAAATGGACTGAATGCACCAATCAAAAGACACAGAGTGGCAGAATGAATAAAAAAAAGAAGAGCCATCTATATGCTGCTTACAAGATCATGTCTGACCCAAGAACATACACACACTACAAGTGAAGAGATGGAAAAAGACAGTTCATGTAAATAATAGAAAACAGCAGAAGTAGTGGGACTTATATCAGACAAAATAGATTTCAAAACAAAGAAAGTAACAAGAGACAAAGAAGGACAATGTAAAGGGGTCAGTCCAACAAAAGCATATAACCATTATAAACATCTATGCACCCAATATAAATCTGTAAAACAAATACTAGCAGAATTAAAGGGGGAAACAGACTGCAACACATTCATTTTAGGAGATTTTAATACCCACTCACACCAACAGATTAACCAGACAGAAAATAAGTAAAGAAACAGAGGTACTGAACACTATATTAGAAGATATAGACCTAACAGACGTCTACAGAAGATTCCACCCAAAAGCAGGAAGATACACATTCTCAAGTGTACATGGAATGTTTTCCAGAACAGATTATACACTAGGCCACAAAAAGAGCCTCTATAAATTCAAAAAGACTGAAATTGTATCAAGTAGCTTCTCAGACCACAACGGTATGAAACTAGAAATAAATTATGTAAAGAAAACAAAGACTTCAAAAACATGGAAGCTAAACAATATGCTTCTAAATAATCGATGGATCAGTGACCAAATTAAAACAGAGATTAAGCAATACATGGAGACAAATGAAAACAACAACTCAATATTCCAAAACCTATGGGATGCAGCAAAGGCAGTTCTAAGAGGAAAGTACATAGCAATATAGGCTTACCACAAGAAAGAACAGTTCCAAACA